ACTAATTTATTTTAAAAGTTTTTCCATATTCTTCCTGATATGACACAGAAACATTTTCTCCCTTTTTCCCCCTTTTCCCTTCCTCACAAATATCCATACTTTTATAATCTATACAGAGCTAGGGTCACATTCATCACCATGTTTTCCTATCCCCCCTTATCTCCAAGTGGAGGCAGGGGTCAAATAAGGGTTTTATCTTCCAAAGGGAACAATAAACCTACTCCTAGACCTTCATAAATATCAGACCCAAATGTCACCATGTCAAGATAAAGAATGTTTTACCTACCCAAACATATTTATGATAACATTTAATTCATAAATTAGGTAATTAAGTTATTAACATTAATTACTAATAAAATAATTATGAAACATACTATAATAAAAGTGATATGAATGTGGTATCTCTCTTCTCTTTCTTTCCCCTCTTAGTCTATCTCATTATTCTGAACTTACCTTTCTAATGATGTTGAGATGAAACACTCCCACATTGTTAGCTGAAGCCAGACAGGGTGCTTTTGGGTACAGCCTGTTGCTGTCAACAGGAACATGTTTTCTGTGCATGTCCTTCACCTAAAACACAACCACTTTTCCATCTTAACTAAGCACATATTCTGCACTGTGGCTGTAATTTTTGTAGTATGAGGTGCAACAGCAAAATTAGCATGAGTTTCTTTTTCCTTCTTCACAATTTTAGAGACAGATTTGTTCTTACCATATAGCTCAGCAACCTCAACAAGATTTTTTTTCCCTTCTCTGATTAAGCTGAGAACTTTCATCTTTTCATTTATGGCTTCTTTTTTGGCATATCTGAAGTGCCAGAAGCACTACTCTTACACTTTGGGGGGCCATTATTAAGTAAAAAACAAAACAAAACAAAAGGTTACATGAACACAAGCACTCCAATACCACCAYGCTGGATCAATTAACTAAGTACAGGGCCGGCAGCCTACACTATGTGGATACTTCACAGTGGTGACTCATATTCCCAGCAGGACAGAGTAGAACAGTAAGAGATTCCAGCATTTTGGTAAGACCATCATACAATTTAAAACTCAAGAACTGTTTATCTGGAATTTTCTATTTTGATATTTTTAGACTATAGTTGACCACAGGTAAAGTGAAAACATGCATAAAGTGGGCCAACTTCTTCCTGTCTGATAAGGGAGGGGAAAGGAAAGAAGGACACTTTAGGGAAAATGAATAATTTTAGGGAGGATAAAAGGGTCCACAGGATAGATGAGAGCTATGATAGTTTTATACTTAGGCAGTATTGACTCCTAGTCTCTAGTGATGTTTGGGGACAGACAGATGCAAATATGGGAACATGAGATTAAGACAATAATTCTATAAAACATTGTGCTGATCCCCACATGCTTTCTTTTCCAAGAAGCACTTTACCTGTAGCCTGGTCTGGCCTAAGTAGACAGGACAGGTCACATTCCTCAGYAAACTAATCTGCAGGAGAAAATGCAGCCCCAACCCAATGGGAGAAACCCAGGAGACTCTTGTGACCAGATCCTGAAACTCAGGAAGCTAGGGATAATTTTTCCCAATAATATAATATGTAAGAATGTAGGTTAAGACTCCAATTAAAACTGGTCAGCATGGGCCAAGATGACCTAGTGTTGCCATGGCAGTGGGTACTTGACAACCTGATGTCATGCTGCTATCAGCCAAAAGCCAAGAGGTGGTCCTGGGCGGGACTCTCTGGAAACTTCTCTGAGATCCCCAGTAAAATTGGAGTGCAGGAGAGGCATGCTGTCCTCCTCTCTGAGAGTATCCACTATTTTCCTTAAGTGTCCTCTTCAMCTATTTCTTCAATAAACTCATTCCTAATACTCTGAGTAGCAGGTCTGAAATCTTTCTGAATTGATCATAAGATTCAGGGTTTGAAGAAGGGGTTGTCTTCAAGCTGCCAGTTTCTCAGAAAATCTCAGCTCTACAACAATGAGACTCTGGTCTTTTCTGGTTCCTTTCTTAGCCAAGGGATTTACAACAACTGAGCTCTCTTAAGTTCTTTTGAGACTCAGTTTGGGGATAGATAAGACTTCAGGAACTCAAATATCATCTATTCAGTACTGAGCAGAGTGATCTGGCCTTCTGGATGGCCTACAGCATTTTCCTTTAGTTCATAGCACAATGGTTTCTGCCCATACCTTCCACTCAACACTAAGAAATGAAAGCTCATCACACTTGCCTTGTTCAGTGGGTATCTCCAGCACTTGTGGATCAGTTAGACTTATGAATGAACTGGATATTCTCCAGTAAGCAGAAAGCCTGTGTGGGCCAATCTATCAGTCCAGAATAGTTTGTACCAATCCCCAGTGTCCTGGTTGATAGTATATGATTTCAAGTGAGTGTCCAGATCTTAAAAGTGCTGTTCATTTACGTTCCCAAGTGCCATGCACTGAAGGTGGGTACACATGCTGCTGTTAGACTACTGGAAAAAGGTGGCAAATAAAGATAGTGCTTTGATGAAGCGTAAAATTAATTACATACGTAAATGCGGTCCAGGCTGTTCGTGACAGATGATGAACTCATTTCTTCACTTTTAGTACCACGTACTGAATCACAGGTTTTTCTGCTTGAATTGATGTTGGAAACAAACTCAAGAATGTTATGGGGTGCCCGCTCAGAAAACACTCTTAAGTCCAAATTAAAAGCCAATTTAAGAATTTTTATTATCTGACCAAAGACTGTCCCTCACAGAGTCCAAGGGACCCTAAGGGAGAACAACCTCATGCTGTCTGTGGCCAGAGTATTTAAGGAAGAAAACCACATTCTATGGACTCTGCAAGTTGCAAGCAAGCCGAATACAGGGGCTGAGAAAGCAGTTAGCAAAATAAAAACAGACAACCACATGCTGAGTTTGACCACATTTGTGGGCATACATCCTTGGTTCAGGTACATTGGTGGGCAAGCACATGAAGTACAAACAATTTTTAAAATTTTAATTAATTTAATTTTTAATTAATTAAAAATTAATTAATCTTTAAAAACGCTTACATAACAAGTTCATAGAGGGGTTACTATGGCTACATTGACTTAACCTTATTCATACCATGTTAGCCTGTTAGCCTGTACTTATCTACAATCACTGGCCTACTTATCTAAACCTCATAGTGTTTTAGATCTTGTTTTTTGGGGCTTACATCCTATGTCTTATGGTTACATGATTATACCATTACTTGGATGTTGTAGTGTGATCTGATAAATACAATCAATAAGAGTGTAAGTTATAGGTTATAGATTAGCAAAAGATATAGATTATAGATATGATTTTGATAAATGAGATAAGACAATTATAAAGCAAGAACTGTCACAGACAGGCCTAAGACTTCATTTTGCTGCCTTCTTTATTATAAAAATTGTTAAAAGAGCTGTTTCTGAGAAACTGGAATTAAAGCTATTTTCTTATTAAAAAATTTTCTTTCTGCACTTTGTACCCCACAAATTGTACCCTACTCAGGATGCAGAGGTGGTCCTAGTGAGCTATGTCCTGGGTTTGAATGCCCTTGTTGGTCTACATGACTTTGAAGTAAATTCTCACCCCCCCCCACCCTGACCCAAATTCAGGATGCGACTGTCTAACACCTGCTTGAACCCAGGACTGTGGTCAACTGAACTGCAAAGCTAATGCTTTTTTTTTTTTTTTGCTTCTGTTTTATCGCTTGCTTGTGTTATGCCAGATTCGTGGGACTCCAATAGACCTGCAGGAGCCRAATCCGATGCAATCACACAARAGGTTTTTATTGCAAGCTGGAGCCTGGACTCACAACCATTCTTGATGCAGCCGTACCAAGGGAGTGAGTCCCGGTCCTTTGCTCAGTTGAGATTTTATAGGTTTAGGGGGGATACTCTATGCGTCACAACATCACACAGCAAGTATCACACAGCAAATCATTCCATACTAGGGGAAAATCAAACAACAACTCTTAACATTGATTAGCACATTCTATGGCGGGAACAAGTTGGGTAGGTGTGATTGGTTACTACAATAGGGGGATTCCTTTGAACTGATTGGTTTAGGCCAGAAGGCATGCTAAACTACATGGTTTCCCAACATGTTATCAACCACCATAAACTACTTGGGGGTCATCTGGCATTCCAGGTATTTTCCCTGTCTCATGCTGATTGGAGGTTGCTAGGGGGGGTTGCTATGGGGCCTCACCTAGCCTAACTGAGTCAGGGACACCTGGTGCTGCAGACCTCTCCTGTTATTTACAGACAAACAACTCAGCAGGGTGGGTATGTGCTTAGGAGTGCTCTATGGGTTTTTCCAAGGCAAGGGTCACGCCCCCTTCCTTAGGACAGGCCTTGAGGTAGAAGCTGCTCTTATTTATTTATTTTAAAAAATGATGTCACATCAGTTTCTCACTTGCTGATTGGAAAATTCCATTCCTGCCTAGAGCCCACAGGTCCCACTTATTAATGTTTTAATTTAGTAATTAAGTCTATGATTGGTTACCTTACACGACAATAAGCAAGTCACTGAGGTGTGGTTCTTGTGCTTATATTCTCCTTGGATGGACCAGAAAGCTGCTGTCCTCCCATAGAGCTTGAGTCTCTGCAGTGAGTGACAATCCCTGGCCAAGTAAATAAAGCTCTCTTGTGATTTGAATTCGGACTTACAGTGCTTCTTGAGGCATCTTCCCATAACTGGGCCCATTCCTGCCTGATGAAGGTCTGTTCTATGCTCACATCTAACTTATTACCAGGGCAGTTTGCTCACCTTGTAGTGCCCATTTCTATTATCCTACTTTATCTGATCTTACTTACTCTGCTTAACAACATCTTATACCTACAATCTATAACATTGATTAGACTCAGACCATAACAAGTAGTCTCCAGAATCCACGCAGGACTCSAGCACAATCCCTTCAGCAGGTACCACGTGAACCAGCCAGCGGCCGCCTGGCGTCACCGGAAACGCCTGGCTGTGACGCCAGCGGCCCGCCCCCTGCGCCGGCGCAAGAACGGAAGTGGACGCACATCCGCTTCCGGGACTGGACGCCATTTCCAGCGGTTGCGGCTCTTCACCCGTTGCGTCCCGCCGGGACAATGAGCTATGACTCCCACCAGAACTGGAGCCGCGACGGGGGATCCCGAAGCTCTGGCGGGGGCTACGGCGGGGGCCGCGGGGGAAGCAGAGGACCTGGGGGTAGTGGGGGAGGGCGGGGCGGCCGCGGCCGGCATCCCGCGCACCTGAAGGGCCGCGAGATTGGCCTGTGGTACGCGAAAAAGCAGACGCAGAAGAACAAGGATGCCGAGAGGCAGGAGGTACACCGAGTGCGGGGTGGGCAGGTCTCGCGACGCGCCGGACCGCTGGGTCGTACGTCGCAGTGACGTCAGCCACGGCGGACSGGTGGGCGGGGCCGGCTGAGCACGTGCGCGCAGGTTCTCTGCATGCGGCGCTTTGTGCACTGTGGTCCAGGGCTTTTCCTGGCTCAGTCTGGAGTCGCGACCTTGTGCGTTTTAGCTACATTTGCGTAGGACGAAAGTGCCATGCGCTGTTTAGAATGTAGGTGGTTCAGGGAAATTGTCCCGCTGTTTTCGTCAGCTTTAAAACTAGCCATGAACCCAGAGATTTTGTTTTTATGTTGGGGTGGGGAAATTTCTGATYAGCTGCTCCTCTTTAAGAAGGAAATTTAGGCATCTAGAAGTGAAAGAAGTAGGATATATGATTTGGCTTAAGTTTTTTTTTTTTTTAAAGAGTTTACTGTTTTGAAGACCAGCACTATAGGAAATATCAAGTTTCCTGAGTGTCTATTCTAATAAAAACATGATTTTTTTCATTAAACAAAAGTTGGCTTAATATAGGCCTTAAAACAACTTTTAGTGACTTGATGGAAAGCATCTTTTATATTAGATACAAAGTGTAATTAAATCATCTTTTGAACTATTTTTCTTTATGTCATTTTCATTGAAATGATTCTGGGGCTTTGTCTTCACAACTTATCACATTTTTATCTTAAAAAAAAAAAGCTAATTGTTCCTGGAATAAACTTTTTTGAAAATCCAGAGAAACACATAAGCCATATTGAAATTGGAAAAGTAATGGAATTAAGTCATAACTAAAATTATGTACACAGTAATTTAACTTTTATTAACCTCTTTTCAAACAAGGTTTTACACGTTACTRTGGGGCTCTAAAGACAGCAATATTTAAGGATTTTATAGTGTAGTTGGAAAAAATAGACCTAAACAGATGAAAAGTTAAATAAGGAAAAATATTGATTATTATTTTCACATGAAAATATTATGAGTGGAATTCTTGATATTTAGCTCCATCCTCAAACCTCCATTTTAATAAATCTCACTACTGTTTATTTACTTATAGCCAAATGGTATGTGTCTTTCATTCTGCTAATTCTAGCAAATCTATCTGCTCTGCAGCTTTAATGCATCCTAGATCCAACCAATTATCTCTATAACAATTACCATAGATCAGACCACTTTTTGTTTTCTGTTCATAGACTCCTAACTAGTCTTATAGCTTCTWCTCCTACACGCTATTAAACTGACCTATTAAACCACTGTTGTGATCTTTTAAAAGGAAAGATTTGCTAATTTCATTGTCTCATTCTCTTGCTTGCAACTTGAGATCTGAAGCTAAGTCATTTCTGTCTCATTTTAATACATTTTGATGCTTCTTAGCATGTTTTCTGGGAATCTTCGTGATTCTGGCTTCAACATATCAGGTTTCCCTCTCTGTGCTTATCTTTCTGAGACCATGTCTCCAATTTGAAGTAATTATAGACTTTGTAAATGTATTTTATTTTTGCTTCTTATTATTACACATCATTCTGCTGTCAGAAATGTGTGTATATTCTTGAAATATGAATACTTTTTAGTTGGTGTATTCTAACTTTTCCTTTGACTGCCTTCAACCTGGTATGATTGCTTCCTCATTAGAGTTCCCATAGCTTTTACTTTTAAAATAACCCATGTAATTGTAAAGTAAAAGCATTCTGCTAATAGTCTTACAGTTCTTTCAATAGATGTTCATGGAGGACTTAATTTGAGATATTGTCTTAAGCCTGGTGTTAATAAGGTGTAGAACATATTTACCAGAGGGATTGTTAGGGGGTATGGACAAAGTGCAGTGTTAAAGTATTAAGTTATGGACAGTATGGGTTATCTTTTGACTTAGAGCTTTTAGAAGATTTTGGAGAAGCAGTAATCCTTAAGCTGAAACCTGAGCTATAGMAAAGTGTATTTATCTCTGTGTTCAGGATTCAGGAGTTTGGTAAGGATTTTTGGACTGAGGCAGAAGTATGTGCCACAGCATGCATAGAGATCAGGAAAAGCATGTTCAAAGAACTGAACGATAAGAACCTGGAACTTAGAGTTTGGTGGGTAGAATAGTGAATTTCAAACTTGTGTGTCACTTTACACAAAAAGAAATGTGTTACAATTTAAAATTCAGAACATACTTAAACCAAAAATTTCACAAAGTAATAATTATCTGCACATTGTTCTGTTTTTGTTTTTGCACTTTTTCTGCATTTTTAAATTAATACATTAATGCAAATCATGATTCTTTAATAAAATTGTACAAACACTAGCTTGAAAAGTTCTGGACTTATATTTTTCTAGTCCAGAACTTGAAATTTATTGACTTTTCCTAGAACCTGGGAAATACATTGAAACACGAGATTAAAAAAAAATGAAATGATTGGATTTTAAATTTTTTAAATTCACTCAGCAATGTAGGATTGAAGAGAGGTAATCCTGGGGTAGGGAGACCAGTTAAGTATCCCTTGTACTAATTAAGATAAGGATTGGTAGCTTGATTAGAATTACTGGAAGTAGAAATGGACATATTGAAATGATTTAGCAGATACACTGAATGATTTTGTATTRTTATTTTTTTAATTTGGAAGGATGAGAACAGCATCCTAATGGATGACACTTTTATGACTATATAGATATCAGGCTTGTTGGAGGAAGATGGTGGGCTCAGCTAAGGACACTGTGAATTTGATACTGTATGGGGGCATACAAAAGAGGATTTCAGAATGCATTTGATGCTTAGAGAATTCTAGACCAGAGGTAAGCATTTGATTGGTCATGGGTCCACATGTGGTAGTTGAAGGGTGAGAGTAAATATTGAGAARAGGAATGGACCCAAGCCTGAATTCTGTAAACAGTTGGTGTCTCCAGCTTGAATGTGCATAGGAACTACCTGCCTTGTTAAAAAGTAGGACTGGTATGGAGCCAGAGATTTTGCCTTCCTGATAGACTCCCAGATGATGGCAGTGCTTTTGGTCTGTAGAGCACTCAGGCTGTAAAATACAGAACACAAATATTTAGGAGATGGTCYAAGGAAGAGAAGGATGCAAAAGAATCCAGGTTAGAGCAGTCAGAGAAGTGAAGAAATGAGGAGGTGGGCAATATTTTGGAATCCAGGAGCAGTATTTGAGAGAAGAGTATATGAAAGAAGAACTAACAGTGGCAAGACTGCATAGGCCTGAGGTGAGAGTTGAGAATGTCTTAGATTGGTTAACAAGGTCATGGGCAACCATGGTGAGATCGCCTCTCTTAGTGGAGGGATTGCAGCCTGATTGCAGTGGGGCCAGAGAAGGAAAGATGAGAAGGGGAGTGTTTCCCGACAGTTTTACTGTGGTGGAAGCAAAATAATGCAGTGGTTTCTGGGGTGGAAGGATTCAAGAGAGGGTTTTTTGTTTGTTTGTTTTTTAAGAAGTTTGATGTTCAGGTACTGATTTGTTTTTCTGCTTTAGCCACCCACCAATGCCAGACTTTGTCACAAAGTTCTTCCTTATCTCTATGGAGATGGTGTTTTTTCCTAAATTAAGAAAATTCGTGTATCTGTGTAATTTCAATTCCTGGCCTTTTGCTGAGCACTCCAAAATTTATATCATGACTTTAAAAACATAAAATCTCTCCAGAGATCAAGGTTCATATTTCCATCTGCCTAATGATTACTGTAGTTAGGAAACGTCACTGTTGTTCTTAATTATCTAAAGTTGTCTAGTTCTTCATTGCCTAAAATTCAAGCTTAGCTCATCCTTTGACTGCCACCAAAAATTGGGTTTGGCATTCATTCTTTTACCTTGGCCTATAATTTCTTAGATGCATACTTAAGRTTTCTAAAAGTTTTCATGGCTTACCAAGGATCTTATCTTTGTCAAAGTTGGTGTTTTATTTAGTTTTCTGAAAMAACTGCATTTGTCATCTCCATTAGTACTTATCAATTTTATTTAGTCCCTCTTGGAGATCAGCCTTCTTACTTCCCAGTTATATTTGTTTTAGTGTGAGAAATTTCAGATGCTCATTACACCCAAAATATTGTTTCCCAGTGTTCAGCTTTTTTTTTTTTTTAAGATAGGACGTTTAGAATTTAATAAATGAAAATTTAAAACAGGAAAATATCTATCATATGTACATGAGAGGAAGCATACAAATATGCTTTCTTTCCCAGTCATATTTACAGCTATTTCTAAAACTAGATGGTAAGAAAAGGTCTCTAAAGATAGATTTAAAATGTTAACATTAACTAGGTCTAGRAAGTAGGGTTGGGCTAGAGGACATGTATGGATAATTTACTTTTTTTTATGTGTTTGTTGAACATATGTTATTTTGCCTTTATTTTTTTTTTTTAGTTATCAAATGGTTTTGCGCATGCTTTCTTACATTGATAAAGACACTCTTTCCATTGCACAAAATAGAGAGCTGTGGTACACATGGATGAACGACGAGAAGAGCAAATTGTGCAGCTGCTAAATTCTGTCCAAGCAAAGAATGATAAAGATTCAGAAGCAGAGATATCCTGGTTTGCGCCTGAGGATCATGGGTAAAACAAAGAGCATTCTTTTAAAAAAAAGGGCAAAGAGTAACACTTCTTTTATAGCATAGGCTGGAAAATAGTGATAATAAATATAATATCATTAGGCTCTTCAATAAGTAGAATTTACTCTTGAAGTAATTCATTTTTCTTATGTTAATTAGGCAGATTTTGAGGAAAAATATTAGATGGCTTATTCCCATAGGAAACCCATGCAGTGGGAATGCATAGTGTGTATAGATATGAGATGTACTAGCATTTCCTGTGCATCAATTTTGTATTTTCTTAATTCTTCTGTGGGGGAGGTCTGCATAAAGTTAAATTGCTTGTGTTTTAGAAATTTGAAAAAACTAAATCATTGAGAGGAAAACTTAGAAGTATTTCAGAGACTGTATAATGTATCCCATTTGTAGCTCAGAAAGGAAGAAAATGAAGTTATGAAATACAGCAGGTCCATAAAAATCAGAAAAAAAATTGCTATGGAAGAATAACTTGTGGATTTTTGTTTTTAATTGTCACAAAGAATAACTCATCTGACAGTATCTGTTTTAAAGGAGGAAAAATCTGAATTTATACAGGAATCTAAGTATATTTCATTACTGCTTTATAGAGCAAAAATATAAGCTTTAAGTTTTGGTGATTTTTGAAATATTTAGACAGCACATTATTATGTTTTGTTCCAGGACTTGAGTGTCTTTTCATCTGACCTGTTTTTACTCTTTATTTTGTCAAAGTAGATATGGTACTGAAGTTTCTGATAAGACAAAACCAAGCTCAGAGAAGAAACTTGACAGCCAGGAAAAGAAAGTGAAAAACCAAGATAAAAAGACATGTAGGATCAGGGACAAATCATACATTGACCAAGATTCTGAGTATCTCTTACAAGAAAATGAACCAGATGGAACCTTAGACCAAAAGTTACTGGAGGATTTACAAAAGAAAAAAACTGACCCTCGTTATATTGAAATGCAGGTAATAGAAAGCAAGATGTGGAAAGAAGTTTTACTTTTTGATCTCTCCTTAGACATGAGAGAAATGGTTAAAAATAGGCTGCACAATGTAGATATGTGAGATTTCTCAAGAAACCATTCTCTGGGAATCTTTTGCTTTTCAAGTAGTAAAAAGAAACAYTGGGAACAAAAATTACTACATATAACCTGCAATTTCCTATCTCATCTGCAGAAGCTTGTGTGGTGAGAAGAAATGTTTAAGAAATGCTAATGCCAGTGAAAACAAAATCACTCTTAACTTCTTAGGTCTGTTTAGTGAAGGTGATTAGAATTATGAAGTTTTCAGATCATTTAATCATCTCCTTGTATAAATGAAAAAAATTTTGTGATGTTCATATATTAACCAACATTTTAAATATAAAACTATGACAAGAACTGAAATATTGAAAGAAGAAATATTCTAATATTTTCTTTTCATACTAGGCAAGACATTTCAAGGTCTCTTATAATTATAAAATTGTACTCTTTGGGGCTGAGGATATAGCTCAGTTGTAGAGTGCTTGCCTCACATGCACAAGGCACTGGGTTCCATCCCCAGCACACCACACACATACACACACACACACACACACACACACACAAATGTATGCTTTGTGGGTATTCTAGAGATAGATGTAATAAAATATATGTGTATGTGTGTGTATGTATGTATATGTGAATATATATAATATTGAGGGAATTTTGAGGAACATATCTTTATGCAAATAATGTGTCATTTTTTGAGAAAGGCAGCTATCTCCTGTAAGAAAGACAGGATCAAGTCATTGATTTTTCTTTGATAAAAATTGAATTTTTTGAAAGCTGTGATTGTCCGTGAGCCAAATCATGTAACTCTTTGATACCTATGAGATTAAAATACGATTTAAGGAGATGGAGAAGATTTTGAGGTGAATTAATTCAAAATATTGTTGCTAAAAGATTAGCTGCTTCTGTAGACTTACGAACAAGGAAAGTTGGTTGTTATCTCGCTTTCTATTGTATGGTGGACAGAACTCAAATGTTCTTAAAGACTGAAAATTGATCTGAAACAGAAAGAAGAAATGCATAAAACGTAAAAACAATTTGTCTTTATTTCCCAGACAATTTGTAAAGGCTTAATGTATACAAAAAATTAAGGATTCTCAAAGAACTGTGTTTCTTTATTTTATGGTTTGTATAAATAGCATTAACTTTCTACTTGCTATATGCTAGTTATGCTTATCTTCTGAAGAGTAATAAGACATTCCCTTTCTTCACACTGCTTATAATCACATCTCGTATCTTGGCCATAGCCAAAATTTAAGACAGAAGATTTGGTGGCCTTGGGAAAGAATAGTGGGCCRTATCTCTCTATTTTAGCAGGATTCACATACATGGGAAGCAAATCTGGATATTTCTTGTTTGAAGTGCAGTGGGGTAATGTGGACATGCTTACATATTAAGATGGTTACATTTGATGCAATGGGTATTAATACTTTCAGATGTTACTTCAAGAAATTTTTTTTAATTACTACAGCAAAAAAGTGGTCACTTATTACTTCACTGAAGTCACTTTAAATCATCACATTGTCATTTTTATGCTACTGGGAAGGATTACTTGACTATATCAAGTGTGGGAGTAATTAATTACCTATGGCAATTCTAATTTTGATTTTATTTATTTTAAAATCAAGTTTCTTTTATTAAGAGAGTGTTAAAACACTTATTTTTATGCCACTGGAGGTTCATGTCATATGCTGTCTCTAGTTAAATGTAAATCTTAATACTACTTTCTTAGTGTTTTTATGTAGTAGGATATAAGATTCTATAAAAACTTTCAGAATTAGCCAGAAATTGTCTCATAGTAAAAGAAAATATARGAAAGAATCAGTCACTTCCTTTTTAGTATTTCAGTTGTAATCCAGCAAATTGTAAATTTGTTCAGTATCTTATTGTGTCAAATTGCTGTTTGTGTTTTTTTAATAAAAAGATGTGGCAGCCCTATAAAATAAAACCTTTGAGGCATTCAGGATGTGTTTGAATTAACTAAGAACACAGTTCTGAAATGACTGTATATTCCTTCTTTTAAGTTTTCTTTTACACTCAGAGGCATCTACCCTAAAACAATCTTTAAATCAGATCAAGAGSCTACTGCATTAGTGAACAGTTTACTGATGAGTAGAAAAAAGAATGTGATGTTCAGATCAAATCTGAGATGAATGTATAAATCAGAAGGTTATTTGAGAATTAAATAAGTTACAATATCTCACACAAGTTATAATAAAAATACTTTTGGATTCTAGCACATTTGGTTAGGTTATGTTATTACTGTGGTTCCAATTTGAATACATTGCTTTTATAAAAATTACTTTTTCTTACAATTTCAGCATTTCAGGGAAAAGCTGCCTTCATATGGAATGCAAAAGGTAAAATACTTTATACTATTTGATTTGTAGCATGAGTACAATTTTTTTTAAAATAGCTATATGTTGAAAAATATGTTAATGAACCTTCTAAAGGGAAGTAATTTTTTAAAATTTTTGCAGGATTAAAGGAAAATGATAATGAAATAGTTTTTTAGAAATTTATCATATCTACAATTGAAATCTTTGGAGTTAAAAAAAATAGAATTTTTTTGTATAATTTCCTTTGGATAAATACCCTGATCTTAATGCAAGACTAAGCACTTTAGTTAAAATGAAGGCATTACTTACTTTAATTGTTAAGCTTCRTAACACATTTACCTTATATAGAATGAAGAAGTACCCCATCCTTCTCTGTCCTCCCACCCTTATTTATTTTTCTTTTACTTTTCCTAGCACTTATTACTACCTGACTGTCTTCCCCTCCTAGTCCAGTGTAAGTTCTTCAGAACTGGGTCTGTTTTGTTTATTCTGTATTTCTTTACTCTAAACATTATATACTGCGAAACTCCTGGCATTGTACAGCCATACAGTAAATATTTATTGAATGAATGAATAGATTACATTCTACTTCTTAGTACAGTAATCTCTTGGTCTCCACAAAAATTGGTGCCAGGATGTTTTATGAATACCATAAGTATTCAAGTCCCTTTATATAACATGGGACAGTATTTACATATAATCTAGACAATCCTTTGTGTACTTTCCAGATTACTTATAATTCCTAATGCAATATAAATGTTTTTATAAATAGTTGTTGGTACTATATTATTTAGGGAATAATGACAAAAAATGTTCAGAATAGATGCAGTTAGTTTTTCAAAAATTCTCCATCTATAGTTGGTTGAATTCACAGATGCAACACTAATGGATAARGATGGACTCACTATATTTACCAACTGTATTTTCAGATTTCAAACTTGAAGTGCTTTCCAATTTACCAAATAGGTCGGTTTAGACAAGAAATGTTTAAAACATAAGTTTTCAAGTAACATTATTTTGTAGTTGAAAATATAACCCATGATTTGTTTTGAAGTAACAGGAAGATTTTATTAATACAGTGAATGTTACTATTCAGAATGCTAGTATACATCAAAAATTTTTAAGGAAAATCTTCCTAAAGATGGGRGTTTTCTAGACACCTAAAGTTTATCCATTTAATTAGGTATTTAAAATCTGTTTTTATTTTAATTATTTGAAAGGAAATAATCTGAAAATAACTTAAGCAGTGTGTAAAATTTGCTTAGTACTTTAAGCCATATTGATGAATTATGCTATAATTCCATGGTATCTTCAGTAGTTACGCAGGCAAGAGATTTGCTTTCAGTTTAATGTTAACACTTATGCTTGGAATTCATGACCTGTTTCTTTTTGTTCTTATCCATGTTTTTCTTTGGCAGTACCTTCTCTCTGCTTTATAGCTTGATGCTTTTTGTTTCTTGAAAATTGTAAGATCTAGGTATCCAAACTGCCAGCATTGTACATGACAAAATTTWAAAAAGCATTAATATGTTTGTTAAAAATGTTTATATTTTCAGTCGGGTAGGATTTTGATTAATTTCTTTTCAGATTTACTCAACATTCCTTATTTTCCCTTTTGAAATAGGAGTTGGTAAATTTAATTGATAATCATCAAGTAACAGTAATAAGTGGTGAAACTGGTTGTGGAAAAACCACTCAAGTTACTCAGTTCATTTTGGATAACTACATTGAAAGAGGAAAAGGATCTGCATGCAGAATAGTTTGTACTCAGCCAAGAAGAATTAGTGCCATTTCAGTAAGTAATTTCTCACCTGTTACAGCTCCCTCTTTTAATTCCTATTCTCCTTTAAGTAATTTTGTAAGGACTTACTAATTTCTAAGGTTTGAAGTGATTCTTAATTAGGCATAGAATTTGTTGCTATGAAAGTACATATTTGCTTGACAAATACTTAGTAGTAAAGGCCAAAAGATTGAATGACATCTGCCTAATAGATAGTAGATATTTATGAATTCAAGATAAATTATTAATCCAGGAAATTTTCAGTATAAATCCACAAGAATGAAAACTAAATAAAATATTTGTAGAATTGATGACATCCTCCAAATAATCTTCAACATTAGGTGCTTTAAATTTTGMAACTTGGTTTATTTAGTATTTCTTAAATCTCTTTTTTCAGTATATAAATAAACTGAATAATGTTGAAGGTGGAAAGCCCCCTTTTTTTGAAGCAACATTTTAGTAGTCGAGTGATTTTCAAATTTATCTACTTATCAAGAGGGAGCTTATCAATTTTTCAGGTTAATGTTGTTTGCTTAAGTGATCTAGAGTTCTTTGTATCTGTAAAAACAAAGTTTAAGTAAGATAAGCACAAGTAATAGTTATAAGTACATGTTTTTACAAACAACATTTAGGTCTTTTAATGTTCTTTGTGTAGTTGTTTTAGGTAACCTTATTTATGAGTTATGTATCCTTTAAAGATTTAGGGTGGCTTGGGGATGTAGCTCCATGGTAGAATGCATGCTAGAGGCCCAGGGTTGAATCCCCAGTATCAAAAGGCATTTTGGGGTTTGTTATCATATATAGTGAGTATGTGAGTTTATTTTCATGTTATATAATGTAGTTCTGTGTATAAATTTAAAATATAAAGATTTGTGGTTGTCTTATTTTTATGATGGTGTTATCACATTTTCTAAGTAATTTAATAAGAGTTTCTGATTAGGGACTCATTACCAATTATTATAGCAATACTTGTTGATAAATATAGCATACCTTTAAGTAATGTATAGTGTACTTTTTAAATAGAGCAACATTCTTCACACTATTTTGGGGGAGAGCCATGTTCCTGTACATTGCATAAGATCACACAGTGGTAAAAATGGTAACAGTTATATAGCTGGACTTAAATTTTTAATAATATATATTGACAGTAGGAATTAATGCTAATTCGATTTTTTTTTCGTTTTCTAAGATCTGTTTGAATTTGGATGTGCAAATTAATATGGTCTAAGTGTATTTTGGATATACTGGTTGAAAMGTTTTACTTCTGAAGTATTATAATGATTGTCTTTTGCTGTTTCTAACATCAAATTATCACTGGTCTGTCATAAGGTGACTGTTGATACTTTTAGTTACACATATCAGTATTGGATTATAATAACATTTGTCCAGAGTTTACATTTGACAGCCTTTCAACTATACATAAAAACTAGTTTATGTACAGTTTATRTACAGTTTTTTTTAAAGATAAAAAYCAAACAAAAACTACAAATTGTGTAAGATAAAGATAAATTACCTTGATTTCCAACTCTTGTAGGAAAAAGTCAGGTAAGATAGAAATTTATCAGAGGGTTCCATAGAAAAGCATTTTGAAAGTAATGATGAACGAACATTTGGCTTTAAAGGACTTTATAAGAATAAATGAAAAGAATATATAAGAATCAGGTAGTCTACAGCTTTTAAGAAAGGAATGCACAATTTAACTATCTCAGATTTTAATATCTTTTTAAAATTTATCTGAAAATCTAAAGAATTATTTTTCAATAATGTTAGATTTTTCATGGATATTAGGACATTTGTCCTAAAGGAAATGGTATTTTCTTTGTAACTGTTTTATTTAAATTAAAGGTTGCAGAGAGAGTGGCTGCAGAAAGGGCAGAATCTTGTGGCAATGGAAACAGCACTGGATACCAAATTCGTCTCCAGAGGTAAAGAATGTTTATTTCTTGTGTACAGATAGATTAAGTGAAAACGTTGAAACTGGCGATTGAAAAGAAAGGGGATTTTTTTTTCATTTTTTATTCTTGTCATTACTGTTAGAATTAACATTTAAAACCATTGCAGCATATCTGGCTTGCTGCTGCTAACTCAACTTTTTTCCCCCAAATTGCCATGTTAAAATGTGCTTTTACATTATGCAGTGATACGAAAAATGACTTTTTAGTTGAATATCATCACTTCTCCTCAAAGGAATTGGTATCCTATTCTTTTGATACCTCATGGCCCCTCCCTTGACTGGCTTTATTTATTGATTTTGATATCCTTACTGTAACCCCACAGTCTCCCCACTGAACTTTTGCTTTTTTCTGGAACTTCAGATTCCTTTTACCTATTTAAAKGATTTGACTTTTCAATCACTGAACCAGAAATTTAGGGCATATAAATCTCTGTTATTCTCTCTATTATTATGGCATTGTATTCCTCATTAGTCCCCATTGTAGTAGGTGTTGTTATAACTAAATATGAAATATGAAGATTTTCTATTAAACTTGTATGGTACTTAGTAAATTATTAGAAAAGAAACTCGAGAACTATTAACTATGTCTTTCATCCACAGTCGGTTGCCAAGGAAACAGGGTTCTATCTTATACTGTACAACAGGAATCATCCTTCAGTGGCTCCAGTCAGACCCGTGAGTATGTTTCAACTGAGAAATTGTTAATATTATCAAAAGATGTAATTATTAAATTGAATGTTGCTGGTTGTTAAAGAAAAATTGTGTTTTTAAKTTTTATACTGAGTTAAAATACTTCACACTTCTGTTGTAGGCATTTATCCAGTGTTAGTCATATTGTACTTGATGAAATCCATGAAAGAAATCTACAGTCAGATGTTTTAATGACTGTGATTAAAGATCTTCTCCAGTTTCGATCTGACCTAAAAGTAATATTGATGAGTGCAACACTGAATGCTGAGAAATTTTCAGAATATTTTGGTGAGTAAACTTTGATTATTAGAAAAGGTACCAGAAAACCACTTAAATTTAATTTAAAAAAAATGTAGAATTGGTATAGTCATAATACATGTCATGTAATTTATAGATGGTATCATGGAAGCAAACTATAGACATAGTAGGTTATAAACATCTGTTTGTGATTCTTTTGTGGCTAGGTTGACAGTTGGCCAACAGCACTAATGATCAGTTAGGGAATACTGAATGTGTCAGGTAGTGTGTTTGACCCTTTGTTTTCAGTAACCTGAATAATACCTTGTATGGTAGGTAGTGTTACTACTCACGTTTTTAAAAGTGAGAAGGAAGACTCAGAACAGTTAAAATAGCTTATTCATGGTTGCATAATTAATGGGAGGACAAAAATCTAAAATTAGATTCAACTGGCTATAAAGTACATTCTTTTAAAATTAAGTTCACTGTCCTTTCTGCTTATAATTGTGGTGGAAGAAGGGGAAAAGGGAGAGAATCAGTGTAGGTGACAATATTTAATGCTCTTGTTTTGGCTTTTAATAACTTCCTTAAAATACATACCAGTTAATCCTTAAAGCATTATGAGATTATTGAGGCAGKTWTTTTTTTCCTTTTGTCTTTTTTTAATAGATATCTGCAACTAATATTGAAGACCTTGGCTCAATTTGATACAGGCCAGAGATAGAGCAGTAGTAATGGTGGCTTGGATATTTTAATCTCTGCTGTCTTAGCGGTTGTTTAGAGTGTGTGCTGCTTGTTTTGCTTGCTATGAAAAGCATTTAAATAACAGTACTGTGGTGATTTTTTTTTTTTAATTAGTGATTTTGAAATAGTAACAATTTAAAATTGAAGTAGGTCTTGTTTTGACTCCTTTTCCCCTCTAATTCTGGGTGCCACCAGTAGTAAGACTTCTTATCTAGGTTTTAGTAAAACATGTATTCTTCTGTGGTACTATCTTGGTTTAATAATAACAATGTAGACTTGTAGTAGTTTCTGAAGTCAGCTTAAAATAGCTCTTTTCTTTTATATCTTACGTTATATTATATGTTATCGTGTAAAACAGTGAGATCTGTAGGAAATAGAGTAGAGCTATATTATAGGAACATTTTCTTAAAATTCAGAATATTGTCTTAGTTTATGGTATGTTGATTATTTTTATTTATATACATTCAAGTACAAATTTATGTTTATTTTTGTCTGCCTTAATAGGTAACTGTCCAATGATACATATACCTGGTTTTACTTTTCCGGTTGTAGAATATCTTTTGGAAGATATTATTGAAAAAATAAGGTAAGTAAACATTAGGAATAGAAGAAACTTATAGCTACTAGAGTGCAACCTTTCTCATACCAAACTTCAGTTAGTTTTAGATACTCAGCATTGACCACTTCCTTCTACTTCTCCGTGGATCAGGGATTTTCAGACTTATCTACATGTTGAAATTACCTGGAATTTTTTAAAAATTCAGATGCCTGTTTCATTTCATTATGAAGTTTGTGTTGGTAGCCATAATCTTTTTCTTTCTTTTTTTTTTTTTTTCTTGTACTAGGTATTGAACCCAAAGGGTCTTACCAATGAGCAACATCACCATGCTTTTTAAAAAAATTTTGAGACAGTGTCTAAGTTGCTGAGGGCCTTCTATGCTGCTGAGCCTGGCCTTGAACTTGGCGATCCTCCTGCCTCAGCCTCCTAAGTTGCTAGAATTACAGGTGTGTGCCACCACACCTGGTGGAGTCAATGAGTTTTAGAAGTCCTTGGGCAGCAGAGTTTGGGATCCTCTATCTTTAGTGTTTGTGCCGTTCTTCTGGTTTTCCTACCACCCTTTACTATTGTATCCCCTCAGGATTCTCAAGTCTTTTTCAGTGCTTTGTGTTTTCTTTCTGCAGTCTTGTCTATTTACATAATTGTAATTGACTATTTCCACAGCTTGTATCACTACAGCTTCAGGACTGAAAAGCTCTTCCTGAATGCTGAAATTTTTTCTATTCAGTAGTATTGCAGCACCACAGACACCTTGGACATCATATTTTTCAAGTCCAAGTTCTTGTCATATGTTTGATCCCCACCTAGCTCCCACCAGTAAAAGTAACAACAAAAACATTAATCCTAAAACAGTTAACAATGCTATCTCCTGATCAGTTTTCTATACATTAAATTAAAAGAGCAAATACTTATCAAGCATTTATATACACTGAAATGTGCTGCTACTTTATATGTTGAGTAATCAATTTACTCCAGATGGTTTTGTACTTACTCTCCAACACACCCAAACCATGAGTCTTTCTTTTGAACATCCCTTCTCATTATTACTGGAAGTTCTTAATCTGTCCTGTGCTAATATAATAGTTCTTTTCTTTGGTATTATGGACTTTACTGTTCCAACTGAAAATAAATATGATCATGTAAGCTTTCTCTTGCTGCACAAGAGATTCCTTTCTGCTTATAATTTTATCTTTGAAAACTGAGCCTTTATTGGTTTAACATGGCCTTTGACAGAAAAGCTCATCTGACTTGCCCTCAACACTCTGGACACTGGCTTTTAGCTGCTACCAACTTTTCCCAGCAACCTGTACACAATTATATTTGTATTCCTTCAAAAGAAAAAGGTTGAGAAAGCCCAGTCCCCAAATTCCATCCCAGAGCCCTTTGCTGTTTGGCTGCATCCTCTTCTTCAGCCTCATTTTCTYTGTCAGACGTCCCCTATCAGTGCTCAATGCACCCTTCCCTAATGTGCCAGGTCCTGCCTTTTCTTTATGCCTTTGTACTTTGCTACATGTTATTTTCTCCATTTAGCCTTCCCTTTGCTATTTCATCCTTTCATCTGTAAACTATTGACTAAGGAAAATTTCATCTTCATTTCCTGTAGCATTTGAATCTATTGTTAACACGTTATTGCCATGTAGTCTATCTCTGAATTTGCCTTTTGCTCTAGAGTTCATGCTTTTCAATATCAAAGATTTTGTCATCTTAGTTAATAGTAGCATAGTGCCTGGCCTATAATGAATATCAGAATAAATAAATGATAGATTTATGATTCAGCTCACCATTACATGAGAAAACCAGAAGGTGAGAGTGGGAAGATAACAGCAAAGGTCCACCAGTTAGTTTACATGGAGAAAAGACAACTAGATTTTGACTAGACATTTATTTAACAGTTATTTAAGTTTTACTCTGTGTGTTGCATAGCGCCAGATTTTAAGCATAAAGCAAGGGAAGACTTGGTGTACACTTGTATATCTGGACAGCTCTGTGAACAGTTACATAAAGTCTGGGGAAAGTAAAATGTGTTTTGGAAATGAGTTCATATATCAAGCATGGACTAGGAAAGTGAAGGAAACGATGAAAGCAGAATAGAAAGGAGGGAAATCGATATTTCAGAGAGGGAGGAACTTGTTCAAAATGAGAGAGATGGCATTTTATCACTTTTATTATTATTATTATGCCAATTGCTCTTCCATTCTTTGCTTTTTTTCCTTAGTGTCCATAAATATTCTAGGTACTTGTTCCTCAATTCCACTTTGTACAGTGTGCCTTACTTCCCACCATGGCACATGTAGCAATTCATTTCTAAGGGAATAATAGGAATAGCTTGATAGTACGAAGGCAACATTGGGGGATCAGTAATGTCAGTGCCTCTGTATGTATTGAAGATTTAGGGGACTCTAGGTTACAGGTTTGAATAGTGAAGGGGCTTAATACTTTTTTTGGTGTTTATATATCAGGCACTGTACTTTATCACTTTTATTATTATTATGCCAATTGCTACTATAAAAGTATCAATCACTCAAATAAGATAAAGCACCAGAAGATTTATAACCTTGTGTAAGGCCACACAGATAGTCAGAGGCAGAGCCGCAACATCACTTTTGTGTAACTCCAGAGCTTGTGCTCCATCCCCCTCATTCCATCTTAGATGCCTTCTTTAGGTAAATTCTGGGAGGTTTGGGGGTTGAAGTGTAGATTTGTTTTTCTTTATCTCTCTCCATCTGGCATGCTTCTCAGAACTCAGTGGAAGGAAGGATTCTTACAGATGTGCCCTCTGTTTTCATCAGTCACTACAGCATGTTAAAGTCATTGTAGCACTAGATTGACACACAGTATACTTGAATGCAGATTCTGGATCTGCCATTTGCTGTAATTATAACTGAGCAGAATTAAATAGTTGTCTAGTATGGGTCTATAGGTCTCTTAACGTACTATCTGATTTTCTCAGAGTCACTAATTAAAYTTCTTAGACTAACAGACCTAAATGTGAATCAAAAGGTATTGGGTTTGATAATTTGTATTTTATGAGCTCCCCAGGGGATCCTTATATGCAATTAAGGTTTGGAAAGCTTCTGTTTTTAAAATATGAATCTATTTGTTATTTTCAACTGACCTTAAAGTTAACTTTTGTTTTAGAGCAAACTTAAAATTGAAGGTAAAAGTTTCTTTAGTATTTTTTATTTTGATTGCTAAAGGTTTGTCTGGAGGTTTATATACTCTAGTAGAGAAGAATAATTATTATCTGACTTGTCAAGTTTCATTTAATGAACACTTCCCCAAAATTGGTATTTTTATATTTTTTCTGGAAATTATAGTAAAAATGTTCTCTAGGACCCTTTTATAAATCCTCATTATAAAAAGCTTCAGATATTCAGATGTTAGTTAGAACCAGAGACTTTAAAAAATGTGAAAATGTTGAAGATTCTTTTTATTTCAGATACATTCCAGAACAGAAAGAACATAGATCCCAATTTAAGAGGGGTTTCATGCAAGGACATGTAAATAGACAAGAAAAAGAAGAAAAAGAAGCAATCTATAAAGAACGATGGCCAGATTACATCAGGGAACTGCGAAGAAGGTGAGTTTATGTTATTTGAAGGTGAGATCCCTGTGGCTGAATTGATGAACAAAATGTCAAGTAGTCTTTTTATTTTTGCATGCTTGAAAGTTTTGTGAATTTCATTCCAGCCAAGCAATGCCAGTTTAACTTTTAAATGCTATTTATTGTTTCAGCATGTTTCTGTTGATGATTTTTTTTTTTTGTTTATAGATTAAGTTAATTTTAATAGTACATTAAACCACAGGAAACTATCAAGTACTTCATGACACTCTTTTTAACTTTGATAGGTATTCTGCAAGTACTGTAGATGTTATAGAAATGATGGATGATGATAAAGTTGATCTGAATTTGATTGCTGCCCTTATTCGGTACATTGTTTTGGAAGAAGAGGTTAGTTTTGTTTATTTTTTTCTTCAAGTGGCACCATTTTAATTTTATTACCATTAAAACCGTGAAAAGAATAATTTTCTAAATGCTTTCAAAAAATATGTTTGTAGAAGCAAATGGATCAGGGATGGGATGAAGGAAAGGAAAGGTACTGGAGAATGAGTTTAATCAAATTATGTGCATACATGAAGATGACTGAATGAATTCAATTTTTCTGTATTATAAATTATAAAGCAATGATTAATAGAAAAAAAAAAGTCCCAGATGTAGTTAGCAAAATTTTTTCCCAATAAAAAGGCTAGATTTGTTGAAATTGTTTTGACACTCGAAATAATCTCAAARTATCAAAGAATTTGGGAATTTGACCTATCTAAAGAAAAGACTAGACAAATTARGTCTTTGGATTATAAATCATATTTCTAAAAGTGATTTTGTAGCTGAACATGGTAATGTACACCTGCAGTTTGGGAGGGTAGGCAGGAGGCCAACTGGGGCCATTTAGAGACTGTTAAAATAAAAATGTAAAAGGGCTGGCGATGTAGCTCAGTGGTATGCATCCTGGGTTTAATCCCCAGTACCACAGTTGATCAATCAATAAGATCTTGAATGCTTTTAGATATTAATAAAATTATCCAGAGCTAGTATAATTTTTAAGTATGTACAGAATTTTATGGTGTAGCATGTTTTGTTGACGTCATCCTTTGTAATAGTTATTTCTCCTCTACATAGGATGGTGCAATACTGGTCTTTCTACCAGGCTGGGACAACATCAGCACATTACATGATCTCTTGATGTCCCAAGTGATGTTTAAATCAGGTATTATGTTAATATATTTTATAGTAATTTAACAGCAATAGTTGAAACATGTATTTTTTTCCCTTTAACTTAAAGAAGTATTATTTCTGTAGCTTAAGAAACTTGATGATATAAATCTACATTGTTATTATTTTGTTTTTRTTTTTTTAAATAACAAATTGGGGTCTGAATCACAAGTGAAGCTTCTGGGTATGTAGTGAAGCTCTATCTAGCATTATGAAGAGAATATTTTACCTCTTTTTTCTAAATTTACCTAACARAATTGAGCTCTTACGTGAGTTAAAATGTTGCTATTGGGGTTTTTAATTTTTTTTTCACCTAGTACAAGTTTGAATAATGATGGGGATTGAGTTAATAACATTTATTAGTGAAATTTGAAAGGAGCACTCCAGCTTTTGAGCATTCTTTAAGTTTGGGGAAAATGCTSATTGTCACAAAGTAAATTAACAAAATAAAATGTCAACTAGATTCTGCTATTGTACTCAGAAAGCAAATATTCTAGAAAACTAAGTTGATCTGRTTATTATGTAGAAATGTAAATTAAATATTATGTGATTCAGTATCTGAATTCATTATTTCATATGTTTGATGAGTTTTTATCTCTTTATCAAAAAGTTCAATTTACTTTTTTAATTTTCAGATAAGTTTATTATTATACCTTTGCATTCGCTGATGCCTACAGTAAACCAGACACAGGTATGTTGTTAAATTTAATTTTTCTTTGTCTTTCCAACTATACAAGTTTTAACTGCTTGTTGTGTGTTTTCYTCGTTTTTGTTTTTTTTTAAAGGAACATTTTCAAATAGTAATCCATTATAACAAATACTTCCTTGAGAACCTTTGCAAATAAGTTTTCAGGGGATGTTTGCACAAAAAGTTGAATAACAGAAGGTAATCCACAAATCACATTAGTTCTGTCAACATTAGGCAAAAGTTTAAAGAATTGGTTTACCTAACTTGTTGGGTTTCCTGAATAAAAGAAAAAGATATGTGAATGTCACTAAAAAAAAAAAAAAAAAAAACCTAGAAAACAGTTCTCTGTGACATAATACAGCTTGATGTTTGAGATATTCATTTAACACAATATATTAGCAGGCATGGGAGTTCCTTTGTTGTCAGTGACATATGATGAATCTTAGCTCTGTCAGATACAAAGGTTTCCCTAATTAGAATGAACTCTTCATTCTCAGAGGAAAGGCAATTTTCTGGATTACAGGGTTTCAGGCCATAAAAGAAAGAAATTGATCAGAAAAATCTATCTTGTTTCCCTCTACTTTTTCCACTCTTCTTTTTATAGGAAAATATTAAGACTCTTTAAATACTCTATTTGTGGGTACCTTAGCTCTGAATAAGATTCAGCTAGCTGAATTAGATACAGGTATATGGGTGAGGGAAGAAAGGTGGGAAGCATTAACTCCTGATATCAAAGACTGGATGGAACAGTACCAGTGTGGCTATACCTCTTTGACCTCTGAATTTAGTAAAGAATGTATTTCTTTGCTGGAGAATATGTGATAAGAAATGACATTTGCTCTATTGATTATTATATAAGTATATGCAGTCAGCCAGTACTGCTTGACACCTGTCTGTCTGATCCGTTGGTAGCATTGTCAAGGACAGTAGTATTTTTATGAGTCAGTTTTGAAGAGGAGTTTTTATTTCAATCTACTCTGAAACTGGTACACAGTGTTATAGCCAGCTGACATCCAGTCTAATGAGTTAGGCATCTGTCTCCTGGTCCCATGTTCTTACCTGTTGCTTATCTTATWGTTCTTACCCTTAAACTGTACTTCTCTTCCTCTGCTTCACACCCTCAAGCTTTTGTTAAAAGATGTGTTATAGGGAAACCCCTGTTGTCTCCCTCTCACCCTTCAGGAACTCTGTCCCGTCTCACTTAAATAAATCCTCTTTTATGTTCAAGATATTTTTATATGCATATAAAGCACATTTTATTTGCAATGCTTTTTTAGTGTTTGCAATGCTGTTTTTGATAAAATTACATCTGTGGGAACTGATTTACTAAGAGAAGAATTTTGTAGTATTGAAAATGAAGGATACTTTATAAATATGTTTATGGTTACATGTCATCTAACCAACACAGTGTTAACAGTGAACAGTAGCTAAAGTAATAGTGTAATATAAAGTAGTCTACTTTTGAGATTTTGATGTATTTATTTTTACAGGTATTTAAAAGAACTCCTCCTGGTGTTCGGAAGATAGTAATTGCTACCAACATTGCTGAGACTAGGTAAAGAGAGTTTAAATATCACTATTGATGACATGAATTATTAATAAACCTAGTCTTGTTTTCTCTACCAGATTTTTGTAATTAGTTAAAAATATTTTCTGTTTAACTTAGTCATAGTGGTAAGCATAGCTATATTTTGTTTTATTTATAATACCTGTCATTTTTTAGCTCTCATTAAAATAGCCTTTTAAGTGATATCCTTTTCAGACCTTTTATAACAAAGCATGGGAGCTGAGATAAATTTAGGTCTTTTTGCCTCTTCCCTCGTTGGGTAATGTTACTATTTGGTATTAGGTGTTATTACATACAGGCTTTAAAATTTCTTATGTTCTCTTGGAGGTACTAATATACAGTTTGGTTGCTAGAACATTTTACCTGTAGAAACTGATACCAAGTCATGGCACTTGGTGCCCATAGAGCTCGGTATGAAAAGGCSAGAAAAGCTATGAAGTGTGGTTGTGGGCCAGTAGGAATTGCCACTCATGCTGCCCACTGTTAGGGGCTTGATCTTGTGGTGTTGGTAAGTTTGAGAAGATTGGTGGAAATCCTGAGCTGCAAAGTACAACTTGATCTAGTAACCCTATTTGGTAGGGCAAAGTGGCACATGCTTGTAATCCAAGCAGCTCAGGAGTCTGAGGCAGGAGGATTGTAAGTTCAAAGCCAGTCTCAGCCACGTAGTAAGGCCTTAAGCAACTTACTGAGACCCTGTCTCAAAATAAAAACCAGCTGGAGATGTGGTTCAGTAGTTATACACCCCTGTTCAATACTTGATACAAAAAAAGAAAAAATTGTAGGTCTTTTATAGATTAATAGAGCATTTGATGTCTGATAATTTGTTTTATTTTCCAAACAGCATTACCATAGATGAYGTAGTTTATGTGATAGATGGAGGAAAAATTAAAGAGACACACTTTGACACTCAGAACAACATCAGCACAATGTCTGCTGAGTGGGTTAGTAAAGCTAATGCCAAACAGAGGAAAGGTCGAGCTGGAAGGTAAGATGGGACTTCATTCAAAGCCTTTAGAAAATATAGTTTTTGTCTAGCAAAAYGTGTTGTGATTTAAAATATTTATTGGGAGAGTCACCTTTCATATTATTTTGAACTTACTATGACATTATTTTTAAGTGAGAAAATTGTTTTTATTTATAGTTTATTTGGATTTGGAAGAGTATCTGCCATGTTTTCTACTTTATGAATATTTTACCTCCAATTCTTCAGTCTGTTTAACTAAAATTAATATTTTTTATAATCTTGTTTCCATTCCCTTTTATAAAGTGCATATTAATCATAATAACATCTAATACTATTTGAGTGTTAGGTCATATGTATTGACTTTGCTTAATCCTCACCACAGTGGCATGTAATAGGCTATTGTCTCCATTTGTAAGAGCAAGGAAATAAAGACAGAAGTAATGTGTCCAAAGTCACACAGCTTTTTAAGTAACAGAGCCAGGATTTTATTTCTGGCACTCTGGCTCCACATTCTAGGCTCCTAGAATGTTACCAGGAGAAAAACATTAGTTACTAGGAGAAAAACAAGGAAAGTACCTTTTCTGCATTAATGTGGTAGTAGTATACAAAGTAAAAATTTCTCACTCAGTGGTGGGAAAAGTATTTGCCTTGAGAAATAATTGGACTTAGAAATGTGTATTCTACAATAGTTTTACACTCATTCATGAGTGATAGAATCATTCTGGAGTTGCAGAAGAGAATTTTTCTTTTACTTCTTACAGGAAGAAAAGATATCCATTAATCTTTATATATGGACTATTTAAGAAAAGGAGAAGTAAAAGAAACCTTGTTGACCATTTTATCATCCCAGTGAGATTACTGGAATTTTGTTTTAAATTTGTACTATATCTATAAAGTTTTGACTTACGTATTATAACCTTCATGGATTTTCTCAGTAGAATTTGATTTCCAGTCAGTCAATTAAAAGATTATGCAGTTGATGTTGTTGAACCMAAATTATTCCTTTAGCAAATCCCAATTTCGATAGGTGGCTATTTTGGAGGCCRGAAAACGCCATCCTGTATCGTTCTCAATGGATGTACTCTTAGTTTCTAGTAGGGTCTTTCTCAGRCATGTTATATAATGGTGGGTCTACAAAGACTTGGCAAAAATAACTAAGATTTTTAGATTTTATTTTTATTCTTATAGCAGAAACAGCCTATAGAAATATTTATTCCGTTTGAAAATGTAAGCGTTACTGTCATCTCTTCACATTTGTCCTCATCGTTGTCCAAAAAATAGTATACTTTATGTCAGTAGTTACAAACATAAAACAAAAAATTCCAGTGCCCCTCTGAGAAGTCACTGAATAAAATGTACTTAAAATCTTTAAACACACACACACACACACACACACACACACACACACACACACACACACACAGGTTAACGTAATACTAGTGTGTGTTAAAAACAAACTTTTAAGACATAGTTGAAGTTGTACCTCTTGGCCTTGGCTTAAATAGATTGCTGTTACTAAGCATAGTAGTCTGGAATCCATCAGAAATAGAGAACCAAATTATTGGAAGAGGGAAGGGAGCCTTAATTTTTTTCTTAAACTGGGACATGGCAGATACTTAAATACAATTAGGAATTACGAGTTCTAGTTCACTGTAAGGTGACTATGATTCACAGTATCATTACATAGTTTCTGAAGAGCTGGAAGAGAGGCTCTGAGAAGCTTCACACTTGCATTAATGAAAGTGAGATGGAAATGCCAGTTATTTGGTTTGCTCAATATCAACACACTGAATCCCAGAAATATGTATAGTTACTACATATTAATTTAAAAGACAGAATAAAGTTAAAARGTGAAAGACAGGACAAATAATTCAGGACATTGGGATAGAGGATTTAGGATTTTATTCCAAACGGAGAACAATGAAATAGGATTCGTAGAATTGAAATAGTAATTACATGCTTTATGAGAAGTAGATATTATACTGGCTGCTTTCCCTTCCTCCTTTTATTTGGAGTTCTAAAAGTCATTGATACCTTTTTTTTTTTTTTTTTTTAAAGAGTTCAACCTGGGCATTGCTATCACCTGTATAATGGCCTGAGAGCAAGTCTTCTGGATGATTATCAACTACCAGAGATTCTGAGAACACCTTTGGAAGAACTTTGTTTGCAGATAAAGGTAAATTAGGTGGCATAGTTAAGAAACAAAGTGGAGAGTAGTGTTTTTATTTTCAACATCTTGTTTAGAAGATGTTAATATATTAATCTTCAGGAAGGAATTATTACTGTATACTTGTTTTTGCTTGTTTCACCAAATTTCCTTGAGTTGTGTACTAACGAGTTTTAAATCAAGTATTGCTTTGGAGCATGGCTGCCTCTCTGGATCCCCCTTGCCCTCTGAAAGCTCCTTCTATTACTGGGCAGATTATCTCTCTTCATATAAAATTCTCAGAATTTCTGATACAGTGAGTGCTCAATAAATGTTAGCTGCTCTTATGATAGATATCTTTTCCTTGTTATGTTACTCATTTCTTTTAGCATCTTATTTTACATATTTTGATATAACTAGCCTTATTTTGAAGATAATAATTAACGTGTTGAGATTTTAACGGGCTACTACTTTTCTCACTAACAAAGTTGTTGGTAGAAAGCAGTATATAGGTTTTTAAACATGTTTTAGTAAAATCACACAATAATTCATTTTGRTAAAATAACTAGTTTGAAAATTGTAAGATTAGTGTTTTGTTTGAGAGATCCATATAGGTAGGAGGACTAAATAATTATGTTGATGTGTGACATATGTTTAATCATATTTTCTTTCCCCAGATTTTAAGACTAGGTGGAATTGCTTATTTTCTGAGTAGGTTAATGGATCCACCATCAGATGAGGCAGTGTTACTGTCCATAAAACACCTGATGGAACTGGTAAGTTGGGCTTTTTTGTTTGTTTTCTTTCTTTCTTTTCTTTCTTTTAATCTAACTTTGAGTCAGAGTGTCAGAGCAGGTAAGCCAACTAATTATAAAACATTACTGCAGAGTAGACTGGTGGAAGGTGCAGTGTTGACTCTGACTAACCATGTGGCTCTCAGTTTAGTATACATGATGTGAATTAGAAAGTTATAAAATGATACTTTTGTTGTGTTCTTAGGATACTGGGCCCTTTCTACACTTTTTTCCCCCATTGGAGGCCTGATTTAAAATTGCGTGACATTTTGAAATTTTTCAATTATACTCTTTTTGTAGATTCTTGAAATAAACCTCGGTTTATTCTATTATTTCTTATTAATATAATTTTTTATCACATCCAAATAATTTAATGATAGCATGGTCATTTTATAAAGGCAACTCTTACATGTTTTTTGAAGAAATACTAGCATGTAGTTTTTCTCCAAAATACTATTGCTTATTTCTGATTTCATTAGTTACTTTTTGTGAGATTAGTGGTTTGAGAAACCACGTTCAGTTTATTGACCACTGAGTGGGTAGACAACTTCTGCAGAGGACCATAGCCAGAGAGGCTCAGGAGTGGCTGCAAGTTAATGCCCAACCTGGGCAGAAGGCCCACAGGGCTAGAGCTGAGACCTCCACTATACGTGAGGCTGGATGTGCCAGTTTAAATTATGCATTAATTTAGAAAGTCTGTATCTCAGTTCTACTCACACRTTTCAAATGCTCAGTAGCATATACAGCAACCATACCGGACAGCACAGAAATAGACATTTCTGTCTTTGCTATAAATTCTCATGGTTAGTGATGGGTTGGAGGCTGGCAAAGACTTGTTTTACATATTTCATAAGTTTTCAGAATCCATTCATGTACATAATATTTGGTAATTTAAATATATTAGAACCACATAATAGTGCTTAATATAGTACCCTGTTAAACAAAAAAGCACTGATCTCTTGGAATTGGATTAAGTTTAGTGATATTACTAGAATTGAGGAGTAGGTGTGGAGAGCTAGGTGGTTATCAGAGAATCAATAGACAACCAGAGGAATCAGCTGGACTCTGAATCCTGAATGAGATGACTTCCTGTCTCCTGACTGAATAAAAGAGCCTTTTGTAGCTGTTTGTAAGAGGGACTGAGGTCCAGTTTTAAAAAGCTTTATTGTGAAATACAGCATCATGCACATCTAGCAAAAGTGAGCAAAGTTAGATTGTGTACCTTAAGGATGCACCACAAAGTAAGCATGGGCTAGTGCCTGTGTTGCGAAGCAATGGACATCAGTAGTGTGGTACAAGCCACCTTCCTGCTCTCTCCAGTTGCTCCTGTCTCTTAATCCTGAAGCTAACCTCTGTCATGACTAATAGTAACCCCTTGATTCGTCGATTCTATGAACTTCACATGATCTTACATAAGATTACGGATTTTTTCCCCTGCTTTGGGCGGGAGAAATAGAGTTGTGGTTTCTTTAATTTAACTTTATGGATTCATGTGCACTGTTGCTTTTAGCTGTTATTCGTTTTCATTTCTTTGGCATAAATTATTGTCATGGCCTATATTGGGCTACTGTATATACACTGGTATGAACATTCAATAATCAGTGTTTCCTGGTGAAAATGTTCATGGGTATATACTTAGGTATGAATCCACTGGGTCATAAGGCGGCATTATGTATGATAAAATTTGGTAGATGTTGCCCTGCAATGTTCCAGAGTTGTCAAAGCACTTGCATTTATCCTAGGGGAGAGTTCTCATTATTGCTCTGTAACTTCACTAACCTGGGTATTACCAGCCTTACTCTAGCCATACTGGTTAGGTATGCAGATGTTTTAATTTGTGGTTTTAATTCTCATTTCCATGAATTTGTGGGGGGTTTTCATGTTTATTGTCCATTGGAAAGTCCTTTCTACAAATTGTTGGTCCCTGTTTTTCTGCTGGTTTGAAGATGAGATATACTTCTCAGGGACTCAGACTGCACCCTTTGTCACGTATATTGCACATATCTGTTTTTTTCCTTTTTTTTTTTTTTTTTTTTAAGGTCTTGATAAACCAGTGCCTGACTTTAATCCAGTCAAATATATCAGTCTTAAAGGTTATTGCTTTTTGCCCCACAGCATGTCTTCTTACTTAATTATGAAGATTTTTTGATCAGATACCCTAAAGTATCTATCCAGTTTTATTCTGAGGCCTTTGTCATTGATCAAGTGTTTATGGATTTGTTCATCTCTTTCTAGGCGATCTATTGGTTATATTTCTATCCTCATCCAGGGCTATACTGACTTAGCAATTTGGGGAGAATTGACATATTTATAATGTGTTATTAATAAGAACAGTATCTACCATCTTCCTTTTATTTGATTTAGAATTTCCATTTTTAGGGTTTTATGTGTATTTTTAAAGATTTATTTCTAGGTTAGTGGTATGTTTGGATTCTACACTAACTTTTAGGTTTTTCCTTTTCTTGTAAGTCTGATAGAAATGAAATTCATTTTTTAATATTGACTTTGTTTATAATTATTAATGCTGCAAAATGCATTTATACTAGTAACTATATTTTTTTCTGCTTTTGAGTTTTTGTTATTTATGTGTTGAATTATTTTGATGTTTCAGATGTTAAGCCAGTTTTCATTTCTGAAATCAGTTGCTGGGATTCACTTGCCTTTGCAGTATTTTGTATTTTTCATGTGTAAAATTATTTAGTAGTTTTCCTTTGCTCAAATGTCTCTGTCAGAGTTAGGTATTAACACTAGGTTCAAGAATTAGGGCTATTATGATTTTACTGTCTATGAGAGCTTTTCTTAAGATCAGTGGTATTCCATCCCAAAGTATTTAGAAATTTGTGTCCAGTGGGATGCTTATGGATTTCTTTTTTTTAAAAAAAAAAAAATTCTTGTTTGTATTTGTGTCTAGTTATTTTAACTATATATTGGAAATTCTATTTTCAAAATTATTTGTAGATTAAAATTTGAAATCTGAATGATGACTTTTTCCAGAGAGCATTTATTATTCTGCCAGGAAAAGAGGCCTGACCTCTGAGCTTACCTCCCCGAATCCATATTTTAGACTTTTAATTCTTATAGGTCTTTCTTAGCTTCTTGGTTTCATCAAGCCACTTTCTAGCTGTCCACAGGTATGGTTGGACCAGAGCCTAGGAAATCAAAGCAGAAGTCATTCCCATTTCCCAAGGTTCTAAATAGGCCTTTTATCTTCTGCCTTGCTATCTCCTAGCACCTAAACTAGAAGAATCTAGGGGCTCTACGCTTCATCCAAATATATAGTCACATCTTTGTTTTTCTTTTTTCCACCACTCTTGTGCTTTATTGGGTGATTTTCTTTATTTGACTRAAAGTTTGCTAGTTTGTTATTTCTCTCATACCATTTCCAATAAAGCTAGATTGTGGACTAATTTTGTTATTATTTAAATAACTTTCTAACCTTTAATGACATCATAATTTATGTTTTGATGAAGAAAATTGAAACAACAATATTGAAGCATTATCTTTTTTAAGAAAAAAACTAAAATAGCTTTCATGTAATGCTTTACCATGTCTATTTTTAAAATAAACTTTCTTTACAGAATGCTCTGGATAAACTAGAAGAACTGACACCTCTYGGAGTCCACTTAGCCCGGTTACCAGTTGAGCCACATATTGGGAAGATGATTCTTTTTGGCGCTCTCTTCTGCTGCTTAGACCCAGTGCTCACCATTGCTGCTAGTCTCAGCTTCAAAGATCCCTTTGTCATTCCATTGGTAAGAAGGAATAAAGGATGTGCATTTTTAGATACTGAAAATTGCAGTTGATTGTGTAATATTTTTTTAGCACCTTTTTATTAGAATATTCTTTGTTATAGTATCAGAACAATTTAAATTGATTTTTTAAATTTTTATTTTAGGGTAAAGAAAAGATTGCAGATGCAAGAAGAAAGGAATTGGCAAAGCACACTAGAAGTGATCACCTGACCGTAGTGAATGCATTTGAGGTAAAAAAAAGAAAAAAAGATCTTGTTCTAGATTGTATTCAAGTGCAAAGCTGACAGTAGAACAGGAGCATATTTAACTTTTAAAAATCTATATTATAGATTCAGGGGGAAGAGCTAAGAATGTTTGAAATTAGGCGAACATTTGAAAAAATAATTTATTTTTAGTTTTGAAATAGATTGTTACATTTACCTTTTTGGAAAAAAGATTATTTAAAAATTATTATTATTATTATTTTTTGGTTGGGGGGAGCAGGTACAAATAAACTAAATGAATTTGTTTTTATATTTGTTATCATTCTTTTGTATTTTTGTCTTACTGACCTATATGACAGTCTTTATTCATTAATCAATTACTCTTATATTCAGATTTAACATTTTGATAGAATATCATAACCATGTACATGATTTAGATTAGGAAAATGTTTTCTGCTATTGTAAGTCAGGCTTACCTGAACAGAAATCTTTAATACTCTTCTTTGAAAATGTAGGTGGCATTTAGTCCTGTTATGTATGGTATGATACCATTTTGTGTAAAGTACACAATCTCTTACTCTTTGACTTTTACTTATTTGTATAAAAACCTGGAACTTGAGTGACAGATTTCTTAGGGACCAGCATCATTACTTTGTAAATTTTGAAATTCTTTGAATTTTTTTTACAAAGAAAATGAAACATCAATGGAAGATTAGACTGTTATTAAATAAAGAAGGAAACTAGTAAATAATCTTTGCTCCAGGGATTGCTATGAGTAGATTTCTTTTTTTGTTTTTTTTTTTTGCCCCATAGGGCTGGGAAGAAGCTAGGCGGCGTGGTTTTAGATATGAGAAGGACTACTGCTGGGAGTATTTTCTGTCCTCAAACACACTGCAGGTAATGATGAATGTTTTGCAGTAATTACCACATTGGAGTATATCTGTATCCATTTTGTATAACTGGATATGTAGTAAGATGTGATATGTACAAAGTGTATGTACTTGTATGAGATATGAATGAAGAATCCAGCCTAATTTTAAAAATGCTCAGTCATTAGCAAACTGAAAATTGACTTGACAACTCTGAAAGATATTGAGGCTAAAGAAAAAAATGAATGAAACCTAGCATCTTTCAACAKAAGAAATCTTAACCATTTTATGATATAAAATAGTTTAATGTGAATATGTATTTCATAAAGCATATGAAAGAAAATAAGCCAGTAGAAGACTGCTGAGCTAGGAAMCCAAATTGAAGACCAAAAGAAAATCATAAAGAACAAAATGGACACCCTTGAAAGTAATTATTGCCATAGAAGAAAGGCTTGAGTTGGTCAGTTTATGGATTTAGCTAAAAAAAAACTTAAAGCAGTTAAATAATAAAAAATTTTTAGACAAGTCTTATACATCATGAGGACAGTAGATATCTCTGTATAGAAATCATGTATAAATGAATATTCAGAAACAAGTAAAGGACTATTTCTCTGAAATGGAAAAAATAAAGTGAATTAGAAGTATAAAAGATGACTTAATTGAAGTGTTGAGATATGTCCATTAAAGATTCTAATTCAACTCTAAAGACAAAGGATGAGCATTTAAGAAAGCCCTCAAGAGATACTGTACCTGTGAGCTTTTGTAAAACTCATTGATAGTGAAATGCTTCTTACTAAGAGTTGAATCAAATGAAGATTTAAGGAATGGAGAACACATGCTGAGTCAGTCAGCTGGTAGTGTACTTTTATTTATATAGAGAACTTACACAAAGGAGTAGTGGGGTGAAGGAGTTATACATACAGAGCAGAATGTAAAGATCTTTATCCTGAATGGTAATAGGAACCAAGATGACAAAGTCAGTTATAGGGAACAGTAGATAGGAAAATGGAATCTTGCATAGAGGTGACCCAAGTCTGTTTTATAATCTCCTAAGCTTAAAAGGAATTCAGTAGAAAATCTTTCTTGGGWTATGAAACTGTAGACTCATTTAATGACTGTTCACTTTCTTGTCTGTAGTTTCTTCAAATTGGACTGAAGTTAAAAGAGTTTTATAAAAATAACTATTGTTTTTAAAACTGATCTCATTATTAGGATATAATTTGTTAACATCTCTGCATAATGAATATCTGCAGTCTTGTGTACTTAATAATGATTATATCTGAAGATACTTGAGATGAGGGAAGTTTCTTCATTAGTACTTCTATTTTTTGAATGCTTTTACTGAGCCATGTATCATTTGTACTCAAATCATAATTTTCTTAAAAGTGTATGTGCCCATTCATTAACAAGAGTTTATTCTTAGTAACAGAAATATGGGTGTTGGTTAATGTAGATTATTTTGTGTTTGGTTCACCCCCCCCTAAAAAAAAATATGGAGTGAGGAACAGTTATTGAAATTCTGTTGATGACTTTTTTGCAAAATGAAATAATCCTTAAATATCAGTGATTTGCAAACTTTGTCTATAAAAGACCAGAATGTACTTCACACTTTTAGGCTGTATAGTCTGTGTTGAATTATTCATCTTTATAATTACAATTCAAAAGCAGCCTTACACAATATGTAAATGATACGATGTGACTGTGTTCCAATAGCATTCTATTGACAAAACCTAGTTTTTATATTTGCCAACACCTCCTTTAAAATATTATATTTTTGTAAAAAAGTGTTCTCATAAAGCAAGGACAGTTTATAATTAACTTATGAGTATATGCTTTATACCCCCAGTGTGTGAACAGTGTTCTGGTTCTGCTTGTTACCATTGCTCTCTAGATGCTGCATAACATGAAAGGACAGTTTGCTGAGCATCTTCTTGGAGCTGGATTTGTAAGCAGTAGAAATCCTAAAGACCCAGAATCTAATATAAATTCAGGTAAAGGAGAAAACAAAGTGTAAATAACTTGCACTGTTGTCCATTGCCTCAGTATTTTACTTTTTTTCCCCCTCTATCTTTCCACCCCCCTAGATAATGAGAAGATAATTAAAGCTGTCATCTGTGCTGGTTTATATCCCAAAGTTGCTAAAATTCGACTAAATTTGGGTAAAAAAAGAAAAATGTGAGCATTGAAGATTCCTAAGGATTACTTGCAGTTCTCTTCCGTGAACTTTTGAAGTCCTCTAATTTAATAGGGCTTTTAATTGTAAAGTGTTCTTACTCATATTTAGGCCATATTCTTCATATATATATATATATATATATATATATATATATATACACACACACATACATACACACACATATATATATTTGGGGTAGGTACTGGGGAATGAATCCAGGATTGCTTCACATCCCCCAGCCCTTTCCTTTTTTTTGAGACAGGATCTTGCTAAATTGCTGAGGTTGGCTTTGAACTTGTGATCCTCCTGCCTTAGCCTCCCAAGCTACTGGGATTACAGGTGTGCATCACTGCACACAGCCTCATCTTTATTTTCATCACTTAGAAGGCAACAAACTCAGAACACATCCTAAGAGTCACCTATCTGATCACTCATTAATTACAAAGAAAGTTAGTAAACTAACATGATACCAATGTAAATATTTGAAAGCCAGTCAGCTTTAAAAAACAAGTGCCTACATGCAGATTGGTTAAGTAGTGTTTGTTTCAGTGATTTTTCTTATTGCAAAATGGATAACAACTCTGTAAGTTTGTGGTAATTTCACTGTTTTGAGAAATAAAGTACATCTAGTATAGAAACACACACAAATAGCCTCTGTAGTAATTGGGGACAACTGTGAGGCATATTTCTGCCCAATAAGTAAATTCCATAAGTACAGAGAAGCTGAAAGTCACCAATGACTAGTGGTATGTGAATTGTTGCCACACTTTTGGAAGGCAAGTCTAGATTTTAATTATATATATCAGGAGTCATTAAAATAGTCATTGACCCAATGCACTGATAACTATGCATTTTAATTTACTAGTGGCATTGCAAACAACATACATGTCTAGTACCAATGGGGAAATTAATAGCTTTGTGATCCTGTAGTTCTGTAGGTAGGCATTTAAACAGTCATTGTTGAAGAACATGTAAAATATTAAACTGATGTTAAATGAAAATGTTTGATACCCTGACAAGCCTGGGCAATCCCACCCACCTGGGAGGTTGAGCCAAGAGAATTGCCAAGTTCAAGGCCCACCTGGGCAACTTATTGAGAACTGTCTCAAAATAAAAAGAAAAGAGACAGGGGCTAGGGATGTAGCTCAGGTAAAGTGTTTATCTGATATGAGCAAAGTTTTGGGTTCGATCCCCAATACAACATACACGTATACATACACAAAGTTGGATACCCTGTGATTTATAACCTGAAAATAAAGACTRCAAATATATTTGCAAAAAATATAGAGCATGCCAACACTGTTTTGAGGCAGTGGTTTTCACTGGGGGTGATTTGTCCCCTCCAGAGAATATTGGACAATGTGTAGAGACATTTAAGGTTGTCAAAACTGGGACAGTGCTTACGCTTACAAGAGGCCAGGGGTACTGCTAAACATCCCATATGAACTCTCCACAGTTAATTGTTACCCAGTTCAATTCAGTAGTGCTGAGGTCAAGAAACTCTATTTAAAGGTATAAGATTATAGATAACCAATGACTTTTCATCATTATGGTTGGAGTTATCTGTATTTTAAGTCATGTAACTACAGTACTTTGAAAGATTATTTTCTTTATATCTAAGTTTATGGGTAGGTTATGAGAGAGACTCTTTGAAAACAAATATTTTTTTATCTTCCTCTGTCATTCTAGGAGGGATTTATGAAAAAACAGTTCTCTTTGAATTGGCTTTGTTTTGTTCTAGAATAGAYGGGTCAGTAAATTCTGGCTTAAAGGCCAAAAACTTTTCTTTTAATAGAGCACAGCCACACTCATTGACATGCTGTGTGTCCACCTTCCTGCTGTGCTGTGCTGTGTTGGGTTGCTGGGTCTGAGGCTGTAGAGTCAGATGCTGTGTAGAAATTTGCCAACAGTTGTAGAATGACATTGGTTAAATTAACTGTTGGGTCAGAAAAAATAAAAATAAAAATATTCAGAATAAATGATTTATTCTGAATAATGAATCTCATAACTGTGTATTCTTAGAACTTAAAAAATACTCTTAAAAACAATTGGGAAGAATTTGTGGATTATAGCTTTTATGTTCTTATGGAATACAAGAAATTTCCATTGCTATTTAAAAATAAACTCCTGAATAATATTATAAGCTCTTATAAATTGTGATAACTTATTAAAGAAAAGACCCTCCATAAGAATTGAGATATTGAACTGTCAAAATAGATGTATTCTAGATATTCCTGTTTTGAAATTGAGGGATTTGAGCGACTCTGAGACATTTAACCATATTTTAAGTTAGATTCTTTTAAATCGGTTTTTATCAAAACTCGCTTCTCAACAAAATTCTGTTTTCAGTGTATATTCATCTGTGTACACACCCTGTAAAATTTTTTAATTAGTCATTTATTTCAGCTTTTTCGTTATTCTTCATTTTTAGTGGTATAGTATATATTTAAAATAAGGAATATTRTGTTAACTTTTTTGTAATATATTGAGTAATTAACACCTATAAGAGTTAGTTATATGGTTTAGAGTGTTCCTGTTTAGCTGATATTTCCCCTTGTATYATTAAGAAAATCATTCTTTCCTTAAATGTAAACTTTGACATTTATAAGTTGTAAAAATTTACCTGTGGAATTACTTTTTGKTTCTGGGGTATGTTTGGAATTTGGGGGGAAAAAAGAATTTCCTAAAAAACTTAACAAACTGCATTTTAACTTTTTTAAAGGGTAAAAGTTTACACAAAAACAGATGGCCTGGTTGCTCTTCATCCTAAATCTGTTAATGTGGAGCAAACAGATTTTCACTACAACTGGCTTATCTATCACCTGAAGATGAGAACAAGTAGTGTAAGTGAACATTTAAATAATTATAAATCTGAACTATCAGTCTTACTTCCTTATAAATGGATAGTGTTCAAAATAATGAATAATTTTGCTTCTCACATAAATTGCAACTTTATTGTTTTAAACAGATAACCTATGCTTTTAACTGTTGTGGTGGAACTTTATGTGTTCATGAAATAAGATAGTTTTTTTGGTTTGTGTGATTTTGAAAGCCTGCTTTCAAAAGATCCTTACATTTTATGGTGTACAGGAGTTTACACTGTGGGCATAGTTTTGTTAGCACAACAGTATACCTCATAAGTACTGGTCAGAATATTAAGTGGATTCTGTTTATTTATGAGATGATTTTTAAAATGCTGAATATATAGGTAAAAATAACTTCAGCTACACTAGTGTTTTGGTTTTGACACTCATGAAATATTTTGTCCAAAGAATAGTGTATTTTAAATTAAAACAAAAATATGAAATCTGTTTTCTGGATTGATAAAGAATATTTCATTTAAAATTATATTTCAGTGGCACATGCCTATAATCCCAGCAGCTTAGGAGGCTGAAGCAGGAGGATTGCAAGTTCAAAGCCAGCCTCAGCAATGATGAGGTGCTAAGCAACTCAGACCCTGTCTCTAAATAAGAAATACTAAATAAGGCTGGGAATGTGACTCAGTGGTTGAGTGCCCCTGAGTTCAATCCCCAGTAAACAYCTCCAGCCCCTCAAAAAAAGATTTCTTGGAGGTAGGAATATAACTCTGTGGGATACCATTTACCTGATATATAAGGAGGCGAAGGCTTTCCTGGGTTTGAACCACAGCATTGCAAATACATAAATACTTTAGAAGGCGACCACGAATAAGAGCAGTATTGATGATGTTATCAAATTAGCCTGGTAATCATCCTTTCAGACTCCTAAATACACTGATTAACTTTAATTCTCATTACAGATATACTTGTATGACTGCACAGAAGTTTCCCCATACTGTCTCTTGTTCTTTGGAGGTGATATTTCCATCCAGAAGGATAATGACCAGGAAACCATTGCTGTAGATGAATGGATCGTGTTTCAGTCTCCAGCAAGAATTGCCCATCTCGTTAAGGTGACTGATCTCTATGTGATTTTCTTTAGATGTCTGTGCCAGTCAGCAGGTGATCTGGTGGTTTTGTTTCATATGTTATACAGTAAAGATTTTTGCTTCATTTCAGCAGAGCATATAGTGTTGAGAAACTGATCCACAGTTTTTCCAAGTAGTTGTGTTTTTTTTGTTTTGTTTTTGGTGGTGCTGTTGATTGAACCCAGGGCCTTGTGTGTGCTAGGCAAGCACTCTACCAAGTGAGCTAAATCCCCAGCCCTTCAAGTTGTTTTTTGAGGTAGTAACAGACCAACTTCAAAATGGCTCAGTCTGATGAAATTTGGAACTTTTTAACCACACTTTGTTTTTCACTGAATATTTCATGTTTTTTTGTGTGTAAKAGCTTGTGAATCTCTTTGTATGGACTAAAGTCATTTTTATCTATTATATTATTGGATAATATACCTTGCCTTTGTTGAATACATATGATTTTTTTTAAACTTAGGAATTAAGAAAGGAACTAGATATCCTTCTACAAGAGAAGATTGAAAGCCCTCATCCTGTAGACTGGAAGGACACGAAATCCAGAGACTGTGCTGTCCTGTCAGCTATTACAGACTTAATCAAAACACAGGAAAAGGCAACTCCCAGGAACTTTCCACCACGCTTCCAGGATGGATATTACAGCTGACAACTTTTCTGTGGTGATCTGAAAAGCCAGTTTGACAACCATTTTCCTCATGGTTTAACTTCTGGCTAAATGCCAAACTCTGGGACATGACCAATTTTCATTTGTAAGGTAGAAGCCTTTAGTGAGTAGTAAAGATTTAATGTGCATGACTTGATGATGTTATCTGTAGCTATTCTAAATACGCCATAAAAAGCAATATGTTCTCTGATCATAGTCTGTTGGGTCATGCCCACTCTTTGGAACTATTCCTCTGAGTCTTGTACCATAAGAAATTCCTTTGTTCTGTTATAAAAAATTAATTTTCTGTTCATAATTAAGTGCAGAACCAGTAAAAATGAATGGTTAGCCAGAAAGCAGGGTCAGGTAAGAATTTGAACACAGCCACATTTTTAAAAAAATGAAACTTTGAACAGAAGTAAATTTGTTGTACTAAAGCCCAGTATTTAATAAAATGTACAGTATATAAAGTCTCAGCTAACTTCTTGGCTTGGTTTCTACATCTCCACCCTCCCTTGGTTTCYTTGGTGTTTATGCTATTTCTAATATACAGGTCCTCCTCTTCATGCCTGGTACAGCATGATGTGGCAGCATTAGAGAGCATGGGTCTGCACCCTGATTAACCAAGTTCCAATCTCAGCTGTCATTTAACTAGATGTCTTAGGCAAGTTACTTGGCTTTTCTGTTTTCTTAAATATAGGTAAATTGTGAGGCTGCAATATGTTGATACTGTTAAGCACATAGACTAGTGTCTGGTACATACCATATCCTCACTGAGTCTTATTTATCCATGAAATATTTTTTAAATGTATGGTTTCTTTTTTTTTTTTCAACACATGCTTTACTTTCTTAGCCAGTGGAAGCTAGTGTGAGGACTGGTAATGTGTGTTTTCAGCTCTGTCAGATTTTGACAACAATTGTTGGTTGTTTTCCAATAGCCATTTTGTCCCTCCCTTCTTGCTTTCTTGTCAAAAGTATCCCCATCCCTGTGGGGCCTTGGGCCCTCAGATGTTGAACTCTTCCCCAAGAGTGAATTAGGTTGTTCTGAGCCAATTGTGTGTGATCTTACTCCCTTTATAAGTCATTTGTTAGGCGTGAACATGAGTCTGTCCGTGGCAATAGCAACTAAGAAGTGATCTGCAACGGGGTGTCTGAGAAAGATTTTTCTTGCTAATTGACATAAAAGAGAAAACGCTGCTCTCTTTCTTTGRACATTGTCTTGTCAGAATCTGATACTGGGAACTGCTGTAGCCAACTTAGGATCAGAAAGGGGACACAGCTATATTCTGAGGTTGGCTCAGGGTGGAAAGGGGACATCAAAGTCCTTGATCATGCTGGGTGAGCTGCAGAATTTAASTGATTCTAGAACTGCCTACACATGGATTTATGTTAATAGAATAAGTCTTTCATTTTTTTAAAGCCCCTTTTAGCAAAGTATTTTTAACTTGGCAGAAAGCATATTAAGTGAAACAGTGTCATTGAGCTGTGGTCTCCTTCTGTTTATTGTGATGTAACAGTTTTGACCCTTATGTCTGAAGGTATTTAAAAAACGCAGAGAGCATCCTGCTATACCCTAAAGAATACAGATTTCATTGTGCCTTCCAATAAATTGCAAGGAAACCAAAGGAGTAAATGTATCCTTGGTGATGGGATGTATTAATGATGGTATGGTGTTCTGTTAATGGCACTGGTTCAGTTCCTACTCCCATCTCTGGGAATGTGTGTCTCCCATCATGTGCTGTGCCTCCTCAGTCCATTCTCTCAGCTGGTCTCCCACAGTGAGTATCTGGACTGAGTTATGTCACAATATTGTACATATTAGTTTTGCCCATAAAGTCAAGGTGACCATCAGGTCCTGTTTGCTCTAGAAGAGTGTTTATTATTTGTAGGGATTTTTTTCCCTCATATTATACAGTTTAATTACTTGGTCACTTGACCAAATGGTCTTGGAAGACAGGATTTAAAGATTCTGTTAAAAAAAAAAWTTATTAGTTGATTCCATCTTTGCAAACTGGTATTTAGTCTTCCTGTGAATGGGAGAACTGCTGAGGAAGAATTAATAGGTGAGGGATTCACAGAAATTAAAGCAGTTACTGTCACCTCTAGTTTATTTCTTGTTTCTGATGCAGTTGGAAATCTTATTGAAGGTGCTACTAATGTTGTTTCTTTTGTTTACAGAATAGGGCATTGCTTCATGGAAAATAAGTTCTATATCTGAAATGTGTTTGCTGTGTAGAGATTTTGAAAGAATAAAGACATTAAGTTAAGAAATCAAATGTCTTACCATTCTGAGCAGTATCGAGAATAACTTGAAAAATTAACAGTGAAACAGCCATATATGGGGAAAACATGGAAGAAATAAACCACTGTATAGGGTTTAAAAAGCACACAAAGAAAGCATATAACACCTGCCTAATTATTAATTATGGCAAAAACTCTAGATAAGTTGATACCAGTTAATTACAAGCTATTCTCTATTTTTACTGCATTTTTAAAACAAAAGTCCACCCCTACTAGTTATTAATTGTAGAAAAATTTTAGAAGGGATTTTAGTACCCCCTCATCCAGAGTAAATAAATAGTAGATTTCCCTCCATTCTTAGCTCTGAGTTTATATTTAGTTTTAAACAACTCTGATTATGTTGTATAATCATGTATTTGTGATAATGTTAATTGTTTTTAAATGGCATTTTTAAAACAATCCATCCTCACTAAGGAATCTTTGGAAATTCAACATAGAAATTAAATCATGTTACCATTTGTTATGTTATAATATATTTCCATACTTTTTTTAAACTTTGAAGTATTTGTATACAATGAACTTAATCAGTTTAAGTGTATAAGTCAGTGAATTTTGTCACCTGTATAAAGTTGTGTAATTAATGCCACTACAATCTTGATACTGAATRTTTACATCACCTAAATATTTCCTCATTCTTTGCAGGCAGTTCCCCTTCCCCACTTCTCCCTGGCCTCCATTCATATGCTTTTTGTCATCAGTTTTTCCTTTTCTAGAATTTCCAATAAATGGAATCATGTATATAGTCTTTGGTGTCCAGCTTCTTTCTCTGCAGAGCTTCTGAGATAAGCCATGTTGGCGCATGTGTTAGTTCTTTTGTTCAGTATTGCACTTTATCATTATGACAGTATTTGTTTACCAGTTGGTGGACATTTGAGTTATTTTCAGTGTTTCTGCTATTATGAATAAAGTTGCTATGAATGTGTGCATACAGTCTGTGTGGTTATGTTTTTGCTTCTCTTGTTTAAATACCTAGGATTAAGAATGTAGTGTCATGGTAAGTGTATTCATAAGAAATAGCCAAGTTTCTCAGAAGTGACTGTTTTTAAAATGCCTTAAAAATAGAGAATAACTTAAATTCACTGGTATCAGCTTATTTAAGGCTTTTGCCATAATTAATGAAATACATGCCTGTCTTGCATTCCTAACAACAATGTGTGGGGTTCCAGGTGTTTCATATTCTTGCCAGTACTTGGAATTTTTAGTTGGTTTTTGGTTGTTTAATACTCACTTTTAGTGGATGTGTATCCTGTTTCATGTTGTAGTCCTGTTTCATGTTATCATTTTTGCTTCTATGATTAATGATGGGCATCTTTTCATGAGCTTGCTTGTTGTTTTTGTTAATTGTCTTACATCCTGTGTGTTTTGATTTTGTACCTCACGTTGAATGGTTGGGAGCTGAACAGTATGTCTGAGTAGGGGAGAGAAGTTTATTTACTTTAGATATACAGGAAGTTATTCGTGTTCCTTGACAGTTAAAATGTCCAGTTGTGCTACTATTCAGTTGGCTGCTACAGCTCAGAGGTAAGCCATGATATGAAGTCCCAGAGGAAAGGCAGTCATGATGGCAAGATGGTGCATATTCACCACAAAGTGAAGGGCGGGCCAGGGACGAGACAAGTGGTGGAAGTGCATGGGAGCTGATCCACCATAGCTGAGGGAATCCACCAGTCCTGCTGAGCTAGGAAATCTGTGTGTCTGACTACTCTTCTTCTAGTTCTTTATGTCTGGTATCAATTTTCAAGTAAGTTTTTCAAGACAATGGTAAGTGGTATATTTCTGAGTCCTTGCAGAATAGATTGTGTTACCTTCACACAGAGAACACAACTTGGGCAGGAATAATTCATTTAGGAAAGTTTTAAAGAAGAATCTTTGGTGACTTTTTTCTTTGTTGGCATTCTGGCTCAGTTTTTGACCACTGAATAACATGCTTGTGAAGAACCTTCTGGATCAGCTTATATGCATGTTTTGGGAGAGAAGATTTGTGATATTTTGAAAAAAGGTGCAAGTGAATCATGTCGCCTAGACATGTTGAAAAGTGCCAGACAATTTATCAAAATTGACAGACTACTTGGCGTTGCTCACAGCAGAGGGAAATGCAAAGATGCAGCACTGTCTGCATCAAGTAATCCTCTGCACTAGCACAGCACACTGGGACACTGCAACCACTGCACCGTCCTCCTGTGGCTGTCCAATGAACTCCTTTCAGGTATCCATTTGAGGTACCACGTGGGTGGTCACAGACATACCTTTGGGTATGCAGTGCATCACTGTATATCATGGTCACATGTGATCTCTTGGTTCCATTTTGCACCATATACGAATGATAAATATAACATACAAAATACATGTTAATTTGAACTGTTCATGTTATTCAGTGAGACTTCCAGTCATCACTAGGCTATTACTAAGTGTTGACTATAGGTTAKCTCCCCCTACTACTTGTTATTCAAGGATAAGCTGTATGTTTCTTTTTTAAAAAAWWTTTTWAAATTTATATATGACAGCAGAATGCATTATAATTCTTATTACACATATAGAACACAATTTTTCATATCTCTGSTTGTATACAAAATATATTCACACCAATTCGTGACATCATACATGTACTTTGGATAATAATGACTATCACATTCCACCATCATTTCTGACCCCATACCCCATCCCTTCCTCTCCAACCACTCTGCCATATCTAGAGTTCCTCTATTCCCCCCATGCTCCCTCTCCCTACCCAACTATGAATCAGCCTCCTTATATCAGAGAAAACATTTGTCATTTGTTTTGGGGGGGATTGGCTAACTTAGCGTTATCATCTTCTCTAAGTCCATCCATTTACCTGCAAATGCCATGATTTTATTCTCTTTTATTGCTGAGTAATATTCCATTGTGTATATATACCACATTTTTTTTATCCATTTTTCATCTATTGAAGGGCATCTAGGTTGGTTCCACAGTTTAGCTGCTGTAAACATTGATGGCTGTGTCCCTGTAATATGCTGTTTTTAAGTCCTTTGGCTATAGACTGAGGAGAGGGATAGCTGGATCAAATGGTGGTTCCATGCCCAATTTTCCAAGAAATCTCCTTACTGCTTTCCATATTGGCTACATCAATTTGCGGTCCCACCAGCAATGTATGAGTGTGCCTTTTTCTCCACATCCTCACCAACATTTTTTTTTTCAAATATTTATTCTTAAGTTTAGGTGAACACAATATATTTATTTTACATTTATGTGGTGCTGAGGATGGAACCCAGTGAGTGCCTCTTGCATGCTAGGCGAGCACTCTACCACTCAGCCCCAGCCCCAGCCCCATTGCCAACACTTATTGTCTTCATAATAGCTGCCATTCTGACTGGTGTGAGATGAAATCTTAGAGTGGTTTTGATTTGCATTTCTCTGATTACTAGTGATGATGAACATTTTTTCATATATTTATTGACTGATTGTATATCATCATCTCAGAAGTGTCTGTTCAGGTCCTTGGCCCATTTATCGATTGGGTTATTTGGTTTTTGGTGTTTCACTTTCTGAGTTCTTTATATACCTAGAGATTAGTGCTCTATCTGATGTGTGAGGGGTAAAGATTTGCTCCCAAGATGTAGGCTCTCTATTCACCTCACAGATTGTTTCTTTTGCTGAGAAACTTTTTTGAGTCCATCCCATTTATTGATTCTTGATTTTAATTCTTGTGCCACAGGAGTCTTTAACGAAGTTGAGGCCTAATCCTACATAGGGCCTACTTTTTCTTCTATTAGACGTAGAGTCTCTGGTTTAATTCCTAGGTACTTGATCCATTTTGAGTTTATTTTTGTGCATGGTGAGAGATAGGAGTTTAATTTCATTTTGTTGCATGTGGATTTCCAGTTTTCTCGGCACCATTTATTGAAGAGGCTATCTTTTCTCCAGTGCATGTTTTTGGCACCTTTGTCTAATATAAGATGATTGTAATTTTGTGGGTTAGTCTCTGTGTCCTCAATTCTGTACCATTGGTCTACCAGTCTGTTTTGGTGCCAGTACCATGCTGTTTTTGTTACTGTTGTTCTGTAGTATAGTTTAAGGTCTGGTATAGTGATGCCACCGTCTTCACTCTTCCTGCTAAGGATTGCTTTAGCTATTCTGGGTCTCTTATTTTTCCAGATGAATTTCATGATTGATATTTCTATTTCTATGAGGAATGCCATTGGGATTTTGATCAGAATTCCATTAAATCTGTATAGTGCTTTTGGTCATTTGGTCATTTTGATAATATTAATTCTGCCTATCCAAGAGCTCTTATAGGCAGAATTAGTATTATTTTATTGTCTTCTAAGGTCTTCTTTGACTTCTTTCTTTAGGGTTCTGTAATTTTTATTATATAGATCTTTCACCTCTTTCATTAAGTTGTTTCCCAAGTATTTTAATTTTTTGAGGCTTTTGTAAATGGTGTAGTTTTCCTTGTTTATGTTTCTGAGGATTTGTTATTGATATAGAGAAATGCCTTTGATTTATGGGTGTTGATTTTATAACCTGCTACTTTGCTAGTTCTAAAAGTTTGGTGGAGCTTTTTAGGTCTTCTACTATAGAATCATATTGTCAGCAAATAGTGCTAATTTAAGTTCTTCTTTTCCTAAATGTATCCCTTTAATTTCTTTTGTCTGTCTAATTGCTCTGGCCAGTGTTTCAAGGACTATGTTAAATAGAAGTGGTGAAAGAGAACATTCCTGTCTTGTTCCATCCAGGTTTTTAGAAGGAATGCCTTCAATTTTTCTGCATTTAGAATGATGTTGGCCTGGGATTTAGCATAGGTAGCCTTTACAATGTTGATGTATGTTCCTGTTATCCCTAGTTTTTCTAGTGTTTTGAACATGAAGGAGTGCTGTATTTTGTCAAATGCTTTTTCTGCATCTATTAGATGATCATATGATTCTTATCTTTAAGTCTATTGATGGAATGAATTACATTTTCCATATGTTGAACCAACCTTGCATCCCTGGGATAAATCCCACTTGATCATGGTGCACAATCTTTTTGATATGTTTTTGTATTTGACTTGCCAGAATTTTATTGAGAATTTTTGCATCTATGTTTATTAGAGATATTGGTCTGAAGTCTTCTRTCTTTGATGTGTCTTTGTCTGGTTTTGGAATCAGGGTGATATTGGTCTCATAGAATGAGCTTGGAAGTGCTCCCTCTTTTTCTATTTCCTGAAATAAATTGAAGAGTATTGGTATTAATTCTTCCTTAAAGGTCTTGTAGAACTCGGCTGTGTATCCATCCAGTCCTGGACTTTATATCATCCCGATTTAATTTGGGCAAATCATATGACTCTAGAAATTAGTGGATGTCTTTGATATTTTCTATTTTATTGGAGTACAAGTTTTCAAAATAATTTCTAATTCTGTATTTCTGTTGTGATATTTCCTTTTTCATCCCATATGTTAGTGATTTGAGTTTTCTCTCTCCTTCTCTTCATTAGCATGGCTAAGTGTTTGTCAATTTTATTTATTTTTTCAAAGAACAAACTTTTTGTTATGTCAATTTTTTCAATTGTTTCTTTTGTTTAAATTTCATTGATTTCAGCTCTGATTTTAATTATTTCCTATCTTCTGTTGCTTTTGGTATTGATTTGTTCTTCTTTTTCTAGGTCCTTGAGATGTAATGTTAAGTCATTTATTTGTTGACTTTTTCTTCTTTTAAGGAATGAACTCCATGCAATGAACTTTCCTCTTAGAACTGCTTTCATAGTATCCCAGAGATTTTGA